GGCATATTTTTTTTTAAAAAAAAAAAAAAAAAAAAAATCAGACCACTTTATTTTACAAGGTCAACTCTCAATATTAATTTTGGTGCAAGTTATTTTTCTAAAATTTTACACTCTCATCATGCAAACATTCCATACTCACTTCCGTCTGTTAGATTTTGCTTTGACCATCCTATGTGGCTCCGGCTTCCTGTCAGCAGGGGGTAACTTCTTTTGTGGCTCAGCAGTCAAAGTTTGTTTCTGGCCCTGGGCACTATCTGACACACTACTTTCACGGTCCTTGTCATCTGTGGCTGTGCTTGGCCGTTCTGATTCAGGAACTTTTTCTGCCTTCTTGGCTAAACAAATGTCAGTTATAGACAAGGAAAAAAAAAAAAAGGCTCACTAATTTGACAATCACAGCACTGCTTTGTGGGTTGACCATTTTTTGGTAAACTAGAACTACGGCCTTCAAAATGACAAAAACATACACACATCCCATAAAAAATTACATTGTATCAAAAGTATAAAAATCTTACCTTGTAGCATGCCGTCTTCTACACAACTGAGCTTCTGGCATTGAGGGGAGCAAGGGATGCAACTCGAGAAGTACATCACTACAGTCACATCACCCACCCCTCCTCTCTATTGGCCATTCACAACATTTTTTCAAAGAATAAGGCGTTCTGTGACTGTAGAAGAGATCTCACAACCCTGCCATCCTCCTTCTCCAATCACAAAATCTCCTTGTATTCCTTAAAAAAAAAAATACAATGCATTTTGTGAACGGCCAATGGGGAGGAGGGAGGGCAGGTTATGCGACCAGAGCACTTTACTGCTTGAGTTGCATCACTCACTCCCCTCATTGCCCGGTGTTCTGTGTAGGAGATGACAATCTTTATACTTTGCAGGGACCCTGCACACAACAATGTGCACAAAAATCAACAAAATGAAAAAAAGGTTAAAAATATTGAAGAACTCCAGCACATAAAAATATTAACCCTTGCTGCCGGGCTTTTCTCTAGGGAGCTAAAACAGATATAACTCACCCAAACTGCAATCCCGGCTAGCTCCTAGACCGGTCCCTTCAGCCCATCTCCTCCTATGCTCCAGCGATGCCCCTCCGCGTACACTGTATTGGACATAATGACCCACAGGACCTTAGACCGCTGAAGGGGGAGCGAGGCTGAAGGGACTGGTCTAGGAGCCAGAGTCGGGATTGCAGTTCGGGTGAGTATATCTGTTATTTTAGCTCCCTAGGCCAAGCACTCAACCATTGCAGTGCAGGGTAAGCACCTCTGCAAGGGTTAAGATTTTATTTGCCTGGAGTTTTGTTTTTTGTTTTTCTTGAAAAATGCAATGCCACTACAACTGGAGTGCCAAGGTTGCCTACTACTACCACCTTACAATATTGTCTTTCAAAAAGGAGGTTACCCATGCCAATAGCTGCATGTGTGACCTTTGACACACAAGCCATTTGCTCTTTAAAATGCTGGTCAGTTCTAACAAAAAGTGGCATAAAAAAACAAGGAAGCATTTGTCCTTTACCCATATACTCTGAAAAACACTGCAGGGGGATTAAACTGAAAATTGGACAGAATTTGGATCAGCTGTGCATAATAACCAATCAGCTTCTATCTTCAGCTTGTTCAGTTAAGGTTTGAAAATGGAAGCTAGAAGCCGACAGCTGTTCAAATTTTTGTACATGCCCCTCTGTATATTTATTACCTCTCTGCTTGTTATCTAGTCTTATGTAACCAAGCTCATAGCCAAACTGAACACAACATTTCAGACTACCAATTCATATGGTTCACAGCAGGGGTGTGCAACCTCAGCCCTTGCAGCTGTTGCGGAACTACAAGTCCAATGAGGCATTGCAAGACTGATCAATGCAGGCATGACTCCCAGAGGCATGTTGGGATTTGTAGGACAGCTAGGGGTGGCCACTCCTGGTTTACAGAAAGCACCTGTTGCACTTTATGGCTCCTTACCTTCTGCTTTTTTGCGAGTGCCTGAAGAGGCTTTCCTCATATCTTTACCCTCATGGAACGGAGTGGAGTTTTCTTCCTGAAGAGGCGGACGCGCGCTAGGCGTTTTAGCAGGGGTCATATAAGAGTCGATTTTTGATTGACCTCCATGTCCCAGATCCTACCGACAATGTGATTATTAATGGACGTTTTACAAAAACATTGATTTGAATATATACAAATGAAGTTTCTATGAATATATTTTAACTTGTCAGAAACACTTTTGGCGTTTTAAGGCTTCGCCAGTCTTAAAGAACATTTTGATTAGAAGTCAATAGACTGCACATTCTCCGTATTGTCTTATGTAGAAAGCACCGAATGTTGTGCGTGGAATCCATGCACGAAGATACAATCAGATCCTCACCCTCCATTGCAGTATTTCTCAACCTTTGTTCCGTCATGGCACCCTTTTAAAGTAAGCACAATCTTCAGGTGCCCCAGTCTAAAATGTAAAAGAATGACGATTGGCCGCAATTAAATCCATACCAGACATTTAGCCTTGATAGGGGTCTGGTATGGGTTTTAAGGGGGTGGTCCCCGCACAAAAAAACAGTGGCAGAAGTGGCAAACTTGCATCCTTTACTGAATGCAATGGATCCGACCCTGCCTGGCTTAGCATCTGTAATTTCCATGGTGCTAGCGGCCTACCTACACCATGAAAAGACATGAAGTGATGTAAACATTTTGAGGCATCACTATGGAAGCCAGAAGGCATACTGGTTGAGAAAGGCTGCTCTACTGTAATGCTCTGTTCACATCATTGCAATGGGGGAGTGCGTGTGATGCGGCACGCGATCCTGCACCACAAGGCAATCTTATGTGAGCGGCGGTGCCCTTATTTCTTAATAGCACCTATCCATTTTGCATGTGCATCACACCACACTGCAAGGTAACTGATTACTACTACTTCGAGTGCAATTTAGCTGTGGTAGGCCGCCCACTCAAATCAATAGACCGCCCAACTGCAGCCGTACCACTATGTATCCTGCAGGACCTCTGTGATGTTGCATTGCTATGGGGTGAACAGGGGTTTAATGTAACCATTGCTAAAGACCACTGTCAGCAGCAAGTGGTGTATGTACTGTCATTGCAGTCACTTCTGTCAATAAGGCCTCATGCACACGGGCAGAAAAACGCAGCTCTATTTGTCCATGGCCATTGTGTGCATTAATGCATGAAAATTCCCTCTCGTGGCTTGAATAAATGCATGTTCCAGCCAAAATAATTAGTTAACACGCATACTCCCCTAAACACTCTATACATACTCTAAGGGAGTATGCGTGTAAACTATTTTTTTTTTTTACACGCTGGATTTGCGGCATAGATGGGAGGTTTTTTTGTTTTTGTTTTAAAGGCTGAGCTTACCTTAGAAGAACGCCACAAACTATTTTATAAATACTTGCAGTGGGGCTACCCCTGCACTGCAAGGGTTAAGTGCTCATTTGTGTCTGGGTTAAAAGCTATATTACCCTAAAGATCCCAACCGGCTTCTTAGATTGGTCCTTCCAGTGTCTCTCCCCCTCCTCTGCAGTGGTCGAAGGTCCCATAAATCATCACGTCTATACACAATGTGTATAGAGATGAGGATGCTGAGAAAGATTCCAATGCTGCAGCGGAGGAGGAGACGGGCTGGAGCAAGCACTGCGACAGATGGCTGGCACAGAGCTTCGGCTGAGTATAAGGCCTCATGCCCACAACGCAAGATTGTATTTTGCGTACATGCACTGTATGCAATCCCAGAATGCATCATTTTTTATAGAAATTTGAATGTACTGTACGTGCATTAAAAACGCAGAAATTCCGAGCCCGGACGCACCTCGGTTCCATTTATTTGCGCATCTTTACACAGAGCAAATATATGGCTCCATTCGCAGCTATGTGCATGGAGCCATTTGCATATGCTGCGCACATCTATACGCAGCGTATTGTACAGCAGTGTGAATGAGGCCTAACTTAGTTTTGTCCCTAGACACAAATGAGCACTTAACTGGCAGTGGAGAGGATTGCAAGGGTTTAAAAGTTTTCCCGGAATTTGGATTTAAAACTATGTTTCATATTATAACCATATTCAGGGTGTAATATGAAACATGGTGACATAGTCAACCCCATCCCAGCTGCCTCCCACCCCCGTTTCCTAAATCTTCAGGCTACTGCTTCGCCCACACAGCCACATCATCCATTCACAGATCATTTGGCAGGATTTGTAAAAGGGAGGAGCTACAAGTCCTAACCATGACTTTTCATGCATAATGGAATAGAAGACACTTCTTACCATCTGTGTTACTTAATGGGGGGAATTCATAAAAACTGGGAGCAGTTGCCCATAGCAACTTGTTGTTTGCCATGAACAATTTGTTCAGTTAAGCTTTGAGAATGAAACAGAAAAACCGATTGGTTGCCATGGGCAACTGCTTCAGTTTTTATGAACCCCTCCATGTCCATACATCAGTAGGAGGAAGAGTCTGCAGGAGCCAGAGCATTGCACCCCTGATCCACTGATTGTGGATGCAATGCTTCACCTGCTCCAATGTAAGAACATATCAATGCACATTGGGAGGGATGAGCAGATTTGCATGGCAACCAATCAGCTTCTATTTCTTATTTTCAAATCCCAACTGTGCAAACTGATGAGACACACTGATTGGTTGCCATGAGCAATTGCTCCAGTTTTGACAAACTCCCCAGATTGTTTTTTTTTTCTTTTCTGAATGTGTGCAATTCATTTTAAGACTTCCCCTTTAATAGCCCCGTGTGCATAAGTCCCGGTACAGATCCTATCTGATGTCCTAGGTCATCTACCGTCTATATACTCCCAAATACAGCCTGCACTGCAGGCTGCATTCCCAGAAAGCAATCGTCATCACAGGGCAGTCTATGGAGTCCCGACCTGAACTGTGTCGGCGAAACAACTAAAAAAACATTTATAAGCACACCGACCCCGTTCATTTTCGGCTTGTTCTCATTGGATCGACAGGTTTCCGGTGCCTCCCCGCTTCTTCCGTCGCCGGTTTTAGACATTTTCTTTCCTAGAAGAGAGACATGGAGGGTTTGTTGTGCGGGAAGTGGGAGTGATCAGCGTAGTGTGACACTGCCGGGCGCCGCCATCTTTAAAGGGACGGAGAGGAAGAGAATGGCGGAGAGGACACATCCTCCTCTGTGCACAGTCCTCAGCACGGCCCTGCGCGTGTGTCTAGACACAGGAAGACCGATCTCATATACTTCTATACAATAACAGCACAGTATACATTCAAAAGCCAAACCTATTATAAATACATCTGTCAGTCCTGAGAGAAGCTTCTTCTCATTCTCTTTAAATCATGGGGCATATATCTATGCCAAAAAATAAAGAGACTGAGTTTTGGATAGAGTAAATCAGGCCGATAAGCCATCAGCTTTTTTTGCCACTGTATCCCATTGGGGAGATTTCCCTTAACTTCCTGTGATAGCCACAACAGGAAATCTCGCTTAAGAGGGAAATCCCTGGCAGGGGCGTCCCGAGGCTGGGTGTAACCCGGTCACCTAAACCGGGTGACACCCCCACCATGTCATCATCGCGCATTCACGGCCATCTGATAGACGCCTGCCAGAGGCCATCCTTGGTGATGGACACCGGCACAGAGAGGAGGGGACGTTCACCCGGCGGGTTGAGGTATGCCACCGGGTCCCCCTCCTCTCTCCTGACACTGTTGGGCTCTCGGTCCATGACCGAGTGCCTGACTTTTTAGAGTGGGGGTGACACCAAAATGACAGAGTCATTTTGGTGTCACCCCTGCCATGGGCGTCACCCTAGGTGCGGGCCGCACCCCCCTTGATCACCAGAACTTGGGTCCCCACCGGAAAATTTTTATTTCCCATCTATTCCTGTTCTGATGAAACCCAAATTTGGGTTCCCCCCACCTCACCAGGACAAACAGAGGGGTTGAATCTACCTAATGGGAACACAGACAGCAATAAAAACCTAACTGGTGTTCTAATCCCTCTCCACTATAGCCAACAACTGAAAGGGTAATAACACTTTCCCAGGTGGGTTTGGGAAATGGAATTACCCCCACCAATCTGCTTTAACCTTTAAATGCTACTTCCCCTCCATGGCTCCCAGTGAATGGACCGTACAGTGGTCACAACATCGCAGCAACACCATTTGTGAGCATAATTTGAAACACTTAGTGCAGGGCTGAGATACTGCGTAGGTGTACAAACCATACACTGGGAGCCACAGAGGGGAAGCAGCGTTCATTCAAAAGGTAAGAGCAGCAGGAGGGGGGAGAAGGGGTAGTTGCATTTCCCCAAATTCACCTGGAAAAAAGTGGAATTACCCTTGAAAGGAGAACTATGAGGCGAGTGATTTTCACTCAACCTCATAGTTCGAGGTGACGTGTGACAATGAAACTGTCACACGTCGGCTCAATTTAAATCGGGAAGTTAGCGAACACATGCCGCCGCTCGCTTCTCGATCATGTCCCTGCAGAGAGCCGTGACTGTCACTCACGGCTCCCTGCAGGAATTCCCCGCTCCTCCAGCTCTGACTGGCAGAACGGATGTGCACAGCTGGCTCTGCCTCTAGATAGGCAAAGCCAGCTGTCACTCACGCAGCTGGGTGGATCGACAGTAATGTCGGGATCCGTCCCGGCTGCAGCAGTCTCAGTATACCGTGAGCTGTAGCTCGCGATACACTGGGCTTTGGGTCACAGGAAGATGCTAGTATATGTCCTCCCGTGACCCTTAGGAGAACTATGGGGAAAAGCACTGACCCCATAGTTCTCCTTTAAAGCAAAAAATAAAAAAGGTTTTGGGTTCAGTTGCACTATTCCTTTTAGTATACACTGAATGCCCAAAATGCAGGGGAGGACACACTTTTGTGCAAGCTGTGCATCGCTACAAGGGCCCTCTGGAATATAGGGGCCCATTTACACAAGCTGTGGGTGGAGCCAAAGCTAGGATTCCTCATGCGGTTATGTCGACCTGGACACCTCTCTCCGACACCATTGTATTTTAATCTCCATAAATTTGTGTCAATGCAAAATGTTCTTTTTCATTTTGGATGGAGTAAGGGAGGGTGATAACCCAGCAGCTTTTTTTGTTCGTGCCAGCTATGTCCAATCGGGGAGATTTCCCTTCACTTGTCCAATAGTTACAATAGGAAGCGAGAGGAAATCCCTGGTGGTCATCAGGGTCACCAGAACCCCATTGGAGGATTTTCCCATCTATTCCTGTTCTGATGTTTGGGATTTTCTTTCACGGATAACAGTCTTCAGGACAAATAGGGTGAATCACTCTAACAGGCAGCACTCTAACAGGCAGCAATAAAAACATGACAAGGGGTCTAATCCCTCCACACTATCCAAAACTAAAGTAAACATTTTGGCTGCAGTTGCACTTTAATTTGCAGTAAACACTATGGGAATTCATAAAAACAGGAGCAGACAGAATACGGAGCAGCTGCCCATAGCAAGCAGCTTCCCTTTCATTTTCAAATCGTAACTGAACAAAGGGAGAAGCTTATGGGTTGCTATGGGCAACTGCTCCAGACCCTGTCTGCTCTAGTTTTTACGACCCCCTCGATGCCTAAAATGCAGAGAATGTCACCTTTTGTGCAAGTTGTGCAGTTCCACAAGGGCCCATTTGCACAAGATGTAGATGGGAGCCACTGCTAGGATTGTTCATGCTGTTATGTAGACCTGGACACCATTCACGTCTTGCACAGGTAAGAAGGGGGTATTCTTTATGTTGCCCTATAACTGGGGTACTGGTCTGAAATAGCCATGGAGTCCATCCAACATATAATGGCATTGGCCTTCAGCTCCTGATAGATTGCCACCGATATATGCAGAATGGTTACACCATTTCCCCTTGATGCCTTTTGGGCATAAAGTGAAGGAGGTGTTCAATGTTTGAGCCAAAGTGCATATTATGGGCCATGAGAGGTCAGGGCAACCCTCCGGCTACTCTTTACCTGTATCTGTCTACACACAGTGAAGGGCACCCTACTGCACCATGCAAATGCAGGACCACTACACCAGAGGCCTGCGTGGCAACCCATTGAGGGGTATGCATAAAAACTGGAGCAGACACGTTATCCATGGCAACCAACCTATCATGGGTTAACTATGAGAAGCTGATTAGTTGCCATGGCAACTACTCCAGTTTTGATAAATTCTCCCCACTGCATTTTGGTGTGCTGCCAAAAAGGAGCAGGTGCGATTTCTGAGCAGGTAAGGGGGCGTTGCCAGTCTATTCATTTTGAAGGGGAACTACCATAAACGCTGGCCACAATCTTCCAGGTCATGTACTGCCGCTGTACTGAGTGGCTTCCCCTCTGCTCTGGAAACACAGACGCTGACTTGGCACAGTGGCCATTCAAGGAATGCCTAGCATTTTTATCAGTGAATACAAGGCGTGGATGAGAGGTGAATGCGTGACATCACTGTCCTCTGTCCAATCCCAGAACGCCTTGTATTCATTGCTAAAAATACTAGGTGTTCTCTGAATGGCCACTGTGTTTTCACTGCAGAGGAGAAGTCGCTCAGCACAGTGGCAGAACAGGACCCTCAAGATCACAGTGATTTAAAGGATCCCCAGTGGACGGTCAGGCACACCATGTCATATGCATTCTTACAGTGGGCAAAACTGGACCAATATAATGCACAATAATTCATACCGGAAGCTCAGCGATAATGTCAACCACACTGTCTAAGGGCTTGTTCACACCAAATCCGGTCCAGATCTGCATGAGTTTCTGCACAAGCAGTGCAGTGCAGTATTGCGTTTTGTTGCATTTTTGCCACGTTCCAGGCCTTTTTTCTAGCCTAAATTAGGCTTCAGTGCGTTCCAGGGCATTTGCATACATTTTTGATGCGTCTTGGTGCATTCCAGAGCAGGAAAAAAAAAAAAAAAAAAAAAAAAAAAAAGGGAAACTAGAGCCCAAAATACCATTGGAATACATCGGATGCATTTTTGATGCGTTCTGTAACTGCTCTTTATCTGCTCCGCACTTCGTGTGAACTAGCCCTAAATAGGTTTTTAGGTATTTGTCAAATTAACAAAAAATGTACCAACAAAAGTGCAATGTGGAGGCTCATACTACGAACTGAATGAATTGTACAGATTTGCCGTATTGGTTATTTTTATTTCTGGCAGAAAGAATCTAAAAACACTCAGCCAGTTCCAAAATCTCAAACGAACACAATAAAGCCATTGTACATACATAATACCAATCTGCTAAAAGTCGGTGAGGACAGGAGCGCAGGAGAAAATGCAACCATACAACATATACCTTGAGGATGCAAATGAGTTCCATACTTAACATATAAAAAAAACAGAGATACTACAATGTTCTTTCTAATGCTAAACACATCACATTATGGATTCATGAGGAGCCTTTGACATTCACATGAAGTGAACGATACAAAACAAGATCTCTTTATGTTGGATCTATGCAGCATTTGTATGAGAATTACAATTCAACAGGACATTTATTTCCACACATAGGTCTTCAACTAGCAGTATGTATGCCCATTGATATAGGAGTTTAATCCTTACTGTATATGTAAGTCGAGATGGGTGGCAATACATTTCAGATACAAATGCATCAGGTGCCGACAAACACACTGTCTACTATAAAGGAGAAAAACTCACCAGGACAAACACACAAAGAGTGTAATAAACCTTCAGGAAAGTGTGTGCGATGACGGCAGCCACAGGGCACGTGAGCCCTGCCTTTTCTGTTGCAAGTCTGTGGATATGTCCTTTCCATCTTCCTCAAGGTGAACTTGGCCTGTAAAGTGCTACACTGCCAGGTGTTCGATTTCCTGTTTGATGAGAGCTCTGTCCAGAAGATCCCTCCAAAAAGGTAAATTGCAATGAGGCACAGTATTCCTAGCTACGTCGACCACACAAGGTATTCCACAGACGTCTCATGGACATATTCCTCAGTCTGGAAGATTCAGAAAAGGGCACTGCTCTATGGATCCGAATTCAGCTCAGCATTTTTAGAAAACATTTTTTTGGGTTTGGCCAAGGATGAAGGGGCCACATATTGCCAATCTCTAAGGGCCTGTTCACACATGAACTGTACTGTGCTGCACCGGATCAGCGCAGATCACTGCCAATGTCCAAGGGCCCATTCACACCACATCATCTCCAGACCAGACTTTTTCCGGACCAAAAATGCACCCCAATGTATCCCAATGCTATTTCTGGCCTCTGTTCACAACAGCGCAGTCCGTTCCAGACCAGACAAATTTTTTTATCATTGGAACTGCGGGCAGGTTCACACATGACCTGCGCTGCACCGGATCAGCGCAGATCACTGCTAGGACACATAGAAAGCAATTGTTTTCTATGCGTCCCATTCACACCACAATCTGGATATGATGGGAGCTACACTGTGATAAAATGCAAAGATGCTGAATTCCATCACAGAGCAATGGATCCCACCACAGGTCATCACACTGTACCATGCTGCCGTGCAGGTACTTGAAAAGAATGTACATAATGTACACGCAACATAAATTTATAAAAGAAACATTTTAAAATAGTGACAGCTCTTGCAGTGTGCGCGATACAACACCCCACCAGACCTGTCACAATACACTAGTTTATCCGGGCTAGCGTGAATGGGCTGATGCTGAGAGATCTGCCTGTCAGCGTCAACCCTGGTCTTCCCTTAGGCACCATTCACACTTGCAGCATGCAAGAACGCATGTCGGCCCAATCAGTGGTGGAGGGGGTATTCCCTGCCCCTTTGTGAAGAGTCACTGCAGGGCGGGGAATACTCTTGCAGTGACATTAGACTGAGAAGGTGGTGTGGCTCATCGCTACTGGTGACACTGCTGGCCACCAGTGATTTCCCAACTTCCTGTTGTGTCTATCAGACAGGAAAGGAAGGGAAACATCGCCAAACGGACACAAAAGGGGTGGGGAAAAGGGATCAGAAGGAATACTACTGAACTCCCATCTATACTACACCTTCCACCGAAAACAAGTGATGCTGGAGACCGTTAAACTTGTATATCATTTCTATTTAAGCTCTCCACTGCTTGAAATAGCGCTAGATCACACCGGTAAATTAAAGTAACTCGAATACAAACACTCCATTGTAGTCTAAGGCTCGCCTCACACCACACACACACTACAATCTGATTTTACAATCTCCTTTGGAGCTACCAACAACTATGTAGTGCAAGAGCCTGTCTGACTGGATAGATTAGGTTGGTCCTTATATTACATAGTTGTGGTAAATCCAATAGGTGATTGTATGGGCAGATTGAAATGTGTTTGGTTAACCCAACTCCTCGTTCACACCTTCGCATTCTGTGAACATGCGCATTTATGCATCGCATCAAAAACATGCTTGCGCTGCCATTCCTTGTTAATGGCACCCCAAACATGGCTGGAGAAAACGCACATTTTTTCCGCACGCATTGGCACACCTGAAATGCACACAATCACATAGAGAGAAGAAAAAAAAAAAAACCAGTACACTTGTAGCAGAATCTGATGCATGAGCTACTTTTCTGCGTTTGACACATGTGCAGCACTTATTGAAACCAATTGGCGATGCACAGGAAGAAAAGAAAAAAAAAGCCACACACAAACAGGACGCACCTTCACGGAACACAAAGGTGTGAACGGAGACTAAGATACAAAGCTGCTCCAGATTGTGCCTGCTCCAGGCTTGATAAACTCCCCTGAAGCAACTTTGACATTAGGCGACCAATCTACCGTGACTTAGCCAGGTAAATATAAACCAGTTAATAAGAAATCAATAGGAACTGAATGATTACAACAAGTTAACCGCTATAGGTACATTCCAGCTACTAGTTATAGCAATTCGTATAGAAGAATCCACTACCTTTGCCCATGATGACTACAGATCGGATCGGCGAATCTAACACCAACCGGAGCGAGCAAGGGATGAGATTGATCGCGATCACAAAGCCGATCTCTGTGTTAAAAATGAACAGCGAAGTTTAAAGTCCCACACGCTACCGTCACTACAGACGCCGTGCCACACACAGCTCCGCCCGGCGAGCTCTTGATTGGATCTCGTCGCTGTCTGTTAAATGAACTGCTCATCCTATTGGTAGACAGCTCTCCGCCTACATACTCCCCCTTTAGGTTGCCCAACCCACTACTCCGAGGGTTCGTACTTTTAAATTTCTATGGACGGCAAGTTGATTGGTTGTAAAGGTGATGCAGCTGCTTGCTGATTGGTTTACACAAACCAAAGGGCACAAATGAAGCGAGCAAACAGCTGCAGTGCGAGAATGGTCTATGTTTTTATAGTGCAAGCTACTCTAATATTGTATATATGAGATATGAATACCAGGACTTGTTCACACCATGCGTGCCTTTAGTCCCTGTACACACTTTTGCATTGTGTGGATGCGCATCAAAGTGCACGCTTTGACGTGCATTCATGCAACACATCTAAAATGTACTCTACACTGGTGGTGCCTTAACTTGTTAATGGCAACGCGGCCAGGAAAACGCGCATTTTTCTTGTGTGTGGACGCACATCACATGCACACAAATGCATGGTCAAAAAACAGGATGCTCACAGCTGAAAATGCTGCATGAGCTTCTATACTGCGTTTGTTGATCGTGTGGCAGGCTATTGAAATGACTCGTGGCAAAATGCACAGGTGAATGTGCAGGAACGTGACGCGTGTTTGCACATTGCAAACTGTGAACAGGAGCTTTTAGCCATATTGTGCTTGTATGCACAACATATTAGCACTGCCAGCTTCACCCCAGTCTTCTTCCAAGTTTCAAGTCTTCAGCTGCTTCATTGGTCTGGCCCAGATGACGTAACGCCGGCGCATGCATACAGGAGTTACTTCATTTTAGCATGCTGAGCATGTGATGTGCATGCACAGCTCAGTATTTAGGAAACAAAATTCTGACAAGCAGCTAGAAGCTTTTATAGAAGAAACTTTTTTTGCGTTTGCCCACACCAGAACGCAGGGCACAGCAATGCCTGGGTTTCAGATCCACCGACCAGAACGTAGGCAATGATGTGTCATGCGTTCTGGTGCAGGCGATCGCATTGTGGGCAGAGGGGGTGTGGCGGTGTTCTCCCACCCCCGAAAGCAGGGAACCGGCCGGGATGCGATCCAGTGCGTTCCATGAGCTAATGGGCTGGAACGCACTGTAAGTGGTGGTGTGAACCGGCCTTTTGCCTTATCAATATTTTTTCAGGAAAGGTGAAGCTTGTACAAAGGACAGCATGCAGAAAAGGATAAGGCCTGTAATAATAAATTGGGAACGCTGAGTATACCTTCTGTCTCTAGGTCGAGGTTGGACACTAGGCAGAATCAAAGACACAGCTCCACCTAGTGGCCCTAACCCTGCACATACTGAGTAAGCTCAGGAGCAGCAAGCAGTGAACAAAATGGCAGTAAGAGAGAATAGCCTTCTAAATTATTATTTTATTGCAACAAGCTAACAACAGAAATACAACATGATGGGCAGGAGCTGTGTCTCCTAATGGACTAAGAATAACATGATCTTGAGTACAAAAGTACATTTTTCTGCCAGTGTTTATTGAAGGATACAATCTGGGATGCCCAAAAGCATTCTTTAAAGCGGAAAAAAAAGAACTGCTTGTTTTGGTCTAGGCATGAAAATAAAGAAGATATACTCACCTGATCCTTGGTCCTGGCTGGCTACTAGACCGGTCCCTGCAGCCTCTTCTCCCCACAGGCTGTGGCGGTCCAAGGGCCTGTGACGTCATCATGTCTAATGCAGGTGCATTATAAGTGAAGACGCTGAGAGACATACCACAGCAGAAGCAGAGGGGTAGAAAGTAGAGGTGAACCGAAATGAAAATGTCAAAACTGAAATGAAAAAAAATGTCAGGCTGAAACCGAAACTGTTTTTTATTCTAACTTTTTCAAATGTATTTTAAATATTTTATTTATTATAAACTTTATTTGTTTTCATATTTTATTTTTATGTATTTATTCATTTTTATTAAAATGTTTTTATCTTTTACTTTACTTTTAGGGACTTCAGGGAAATATTAGGGGTCAGATATTTCCCTTTTAAAATAGAAAAAGAGATGGAGGACACTGGGTCCTCCATCTCTTTTTCTGCAGCCCCTGTTATAAATGAACATGAATCCTCTATACTGAGTGTTCCTGTTCATTCAAAACTTGGAGATAGTATGTTTACTATAACCACAATCATGAATGAACAGGAAGTGATGTAGAGTACTTCCCATTCATTCATAACTGAGGATATAGTTAATAAACTCTGTCCTCAATTATTTACAAAGCCTCAGCGATCACTGATCGCTGAGTGTTTCTATCACTCTGCTTGCTGACAGCTGTCACAGTTGGATGAGCGAGCGGTGCTGGAGGAGAGCTCAGCCTCCTGTGAGAGCACCAACAGCGCTCTCCTCCCGCAGCACTAGGCCGCCTGTGACAGGTTTTATCCTCCCCGCTGGGACACAGAGCAGCGGGGAGGAGAGACTAGGATGCACTGCTATATCGGCAAGAAAATGGCACTTTCGGCATTTTGCCAAAAGTGCAATTTTCGGCCAATATGTTTCGGCGGCCGATATATCGATGCATTTCTAGTAAAGAGATGAGAGGTCACTGCTGTAGGACCAAGGATCAGGTGAGTGTATCATCTTTATCTTCACCCGTAGACCAAAACAAGCACTTAACCCTTGCAGTGTGAATGTAGCCTCACTGCAAGCGTTAATTTGACTGAATCCTGGAGTTTTTCCTGAACTCTAGGTATGTATTTTTATGCATACTTACATTGGTCCGGCTTGGCTCACTGTAAGTATGCATATGTCATACCTGAGCAGCCCACAGGGATCCTGTGAATTACTGTAGTAGCCAAAGCTACTACAGTGCTGGCTGCGATCTTTCGGGTCCTGTATGGCGCTGAGCTGAGTGGATTTCCCTCGGCTTTGAAAACACAGGGGGTCGCTTGTTTGGCACAGTGGCCATTCAGGACACTCCTAATATCTTTAGCAATTAATACAAGGGGACCGACCTTATGATTTGCCTCGTGTCCAATCAGTTAAAGCCTTGTATTCATCGAAGAAAATACTAGACTTTCTTTGAATGGTTGCTGTGCTGAGCAAGTAATCCTCTGTGTGTTCACAGCGGAGGAGAAGCGACTTAGTTTGGCGCCATCCTGAACCTGAAAGATCGCTGTCAGCACTGCAGTAGCTCTGGCTCCCAGGGTGTCGAGAAAAAGGCCTTCTACTGAATTGAAGAGAGTAGAGACTGTCTAAGGGAAAAGATGAGATTTTAAGCAAAAACACTCTCAGGAGGAGGAGACTCCAGTCAATAACATTTCCCTCACCCAGGAGTTGCAGGGTCAGAAATCTGCAAACATCAATAGTCTTCCCTCCACCTTGTTGTCAATAGTCTTCCCTCCAGCTTGTTGTCCACAGGTTAGCGTTTGTGTGTACTGAGCCTTAGTCTTAGAAGATGAATGGGAAGATTTACCATTTCTTTCTGCTCAGAGAGAAAGTTGCTCCTGTAGGGATAAAAGGAAGGTGTACCTTTCTGGGAAAAGAACTTCAGTTTATGGTTCTAATAAAAACTAGTGCCCTTCTTCCCTGTGGCATCCCTAGACAATTTGGGTCTTCCATATTGTCCAAGGAAGATTTCTTCACATATATACATGAGCTAAACATGGGGCTACTTGGAGGTTTGGTCTTCAGATCAAGGGTCTCCAAAAAAGGATCACAGCTGCTGAACTGATGTGGGCACCCACTCTTTCTGCATCTAAGAATTCACAAATACAGTATAAATGTACCTGCCTGGATCATCTAATCCACAATATCAATAGGATGTTGAGGGGAACTCTCAGATACAAGATCCTGGTGCAGTTCTCTAGCCCGGTCTGTCGCAGCATGGGAGACCCGGGTGCAGGTAAAAACTGACTTGAGCGTAAAGCCAGTGTCACAAAACAGGAAACTAAAAGGTACTCCAGGTACCTATAGATACGGTCGGTACAATGGTCAGTGGTGGTACTGGACAATGATGAAGAGGCCAGTACTACAATATTTAATACCACAATTTTACCTCCCCAGGGGTTACAGTCACAAAAGCAGCATTTTGGGACATAATGGGTCTTTTTATCAAGGTTACACCTATGCCACTTTGATTAAAAAAAAGAGAGCGGTTTGTGCGCCTGAAAGAAAAGTAGATTTGTGGATTACAGAAACTGTGATTGCATACAGAGCCTTGTAAGATAATCACTGGCAAGTTACCATGGAAATCAGAGATTCTAATGAAAAGCTTCATGTTAGTTACTAGTTCCCTTAGAAACCAAAACTGTCTACAATACAACGTTTTATTTGTAGTTACTCTATGAATGAGATGTGCCCCAGTGCATATCAAAACCATATCCAGTCTTCCTGAAAACATTTATGTTTGTCACACCGTGCAAATTAAGAGACTATACAATGTGAATATCTGTGAGAGTTTTCTAACATTTTTCTATGCTGTGTAGGTTAGACTGTATATCCAGTGAAAGTCTTTATGATGTCAGACTTATGAAGAGCAGAAACTACCCCGGATGCCTGCCTGTCATGCGTCCAACATGTGATTTTATCAGATTTATTGTTATTCCTGTGGAAGGGAATTTATCAAAACTGGAGCAGACAAAATCTGGAGCAACTATGCATGGCAACCAATCAGCTTCCCTTTTTCATTTTCAAACCATAACTGAACAAACGGAGGCGAGAACCTGATTGGTTGCCATGCACAGCTGCTCCAGATTTTGTCTGCTCGAGATTTGATAAATTCCCCCCATATTTTTTTTTATTTTTTAGCTACACCTAGTAGCCAAGCAACACTGCTTCATTTACATCTACAGACTGTTAAGCAATGTTTTGACCCCTGTAAGACTTCCATCCCCATCATCCCTCATTTTGAGGAACAGATGCATCCTAGGGAGTTTTTTTTATCACCAGTAATTGTATTGAAAAGTTTTAACAATTATGGGATAGATACCCAAAGAAAGGAAATGGAACAAACAGCAATACAGTGTATTCTTCAAGCATATTCAGCCACAATAAGGGAGATGTACAAGTAAATATGAGGTAGAAATAGGGTCTCGGAACGGGCCCCATCTCAGATGATATCCATTGTCAAGTTGGTGAGTAAGATCAGCAGATTCTGCAGGCAAGGCTGGCAAAAGGAGAAAACACATCTTATCATCAGATTAGGCAGATCATCCCTGGTAGCCGACATATGTCCAGGATGTTGTAAATCGTTTAGAAAGATGAGTCCCTCAAGGAAAAAAAGTAGAAAGAGGGAAGGGCCCTCTAGGGGGGCAGGAGGTGTCAGTGGAAGACATATAAAGCAAAATAATAGAGGTAAATAATAAGTTAGAAGGGAAACAAGAGGGTAATAAGGGTAGGAGGGAGATGGATATATAGGAAGGCAAAGGAAGGATCAGGAATGGCAGACAGGAGGGAGACTTGCCCCCCATCCAGGGGACTCCCAAGTAGGGCCCCCAAGAGGGCATCTGCTCTAAAGAACGAAATCATATCAGGTAAGGTGAGATTCAGCTTGACACCTTATGCAGTGAGACTGTTGTAGGTAGGGGGAAACTTGAACAAATGCCATCTGGTCCACATCGAGCAATAAAGAGTCATGTTGTCTCAACTGATATGAATGAGTTTCTCCATGTTTGCAACTGTGTTAATATGGAGAAGCCATTCTTTTATCAAAGGTGGATGTGATGATTTCCAGTGCCTATGGATCATAGTTTTTGCTATATTCTGGAGGTGTAAGACAAGGGAGGGTTTAGAAGTGCGAAAAGGTGTGACAAAATGGTGTAGAAGGAATGTCACAGAGTCAAAGTGCTGTGGGCAATCCGTAATGAGGGCAATGAAGTTGTGTACCTTTTTGTTAGGGAACCAAGAAACTAGACAGAAACTTAAGTGCAGGTTTAAAAATAAAAGGAGTTTATTGAAAACAGAAATAAACATAAATAGCAAAAACAATAGAGAAAGTCCAGGATATCGTCAGAGCCAAGCCAGGAGCCAGATGTCAAAACGCTTAGTCATTCAAGCCAGGTCAGGGAGCATGAAGAGCAGGATAAACAGAGACAATAGCCCCAACCACTGTCTGAAAAAGAAAAAAAAAAGTGCCCTCCAGAAAACAGCAAAGTTTAGAAAAGTTACTAGTGAGGAAAAAACACTATTCCTGAGCTCCAAAATGGTGGTGGGATGTCAGGAATGGCACTACAAAGAAAGTGGAAGTAAATGTCTGAATCTAGGGGGTCTGGTATGATACGGCTCTGAGTAATTGCCGATGTGGTGAATATCCAGATCTAGGGGTAGGGTATGACACATGGGGAGTAGGATGGCCGTTGCAGTGAATGCCTGAATTTGGCATCCGATGTGATACTGAACCTGGTAATGGTCAAGGTGATTAAAAATGTCTCTTCCACTTTCTTCTTTCCGTGGGGAGGGCCTTATTTCCAATGGAGGTCATCTTCGGTCCCGCAGATCCAGGAGTAGATACGTGAACTCAACTAGGTAATGCAAATGGAGAAACTAACAGCTCCCCTTTCCAACAGCTACTCGGACGATGTGGTTACATGGAACACTTGAATAGATTTATTTGATTCTTGAAGACTTTGTTTCTATGACTTGCAGGGCCGTCTTTAACGCAGGGCAAAAGGGGCAGACGCCCAGGGCCCAATCATTGTTGTGGGGCCCAAAACAGCTGCCCCTTCAGCCAACATAAGATAAACACGTGCAGGGCTGGCAGCCTCACTTCTGTAGGCAATGAGGCTTGCACCAGCCCAGCCCCGTCTGTGTACACAGCATCAGTGATCTACAGACAGGAGGCTACATACAGCAGCATAGACGTGGCTCCGGGCTCCGCCCACTATGAAGCCGGCCCCACCCCCTGCTCTCTGTACTCCGCTCTCCTGTGTTGTCTGGGGCCCTGCTGGGAGCCGGCACCGTGCCCTGAGATGTCACCCCTGCTGTGTCCCCTCCCCTCTTCAGACCTTCATACCCAGTAAGTGCCCATATATGCCACAGTATATGTATGCAACAGATACATATACTCTGTGTTATACATACATATGCAGAGCAGGTTCCTGACATTGCTTCTCTAGTTCAATCTATGCTGCTGAAGCAGGATTTAGAATTTTTCAAGAAAATGTCATTATCAAGTTCTATGTATGGCTGCAGCAAAGCTTACTGGGCTCTCAATACTAGGGATGCACCTATAGATAATATTACAAACAGGATCTGTGCTATTGCACAACAAACCCCCAGGCTACCATGCTAAAAAGTGTATATAACACCTAAAAAACATGAATTATAAACGTGCACTGCACTATAGAGACCAACTACATATGTAATTTAATGATAATCTACATGTGAAATAAATACAGAAATATGCAGAATCACCCTATGGTAAATAATACATATTAGGTATTTGTCCACTATATATTGTATTTATTCACCATAGGGTGATTCTGCACATTTATTACACATGTAGATTATTATTAGATTGTATGTGTAGTTGGTCTATAAAGCGCAGTGCACTTTTATAATTAACTAGGGATGCTACTGCACTGATACTGACACCTGCACAGCTCACCTGAGACCATGTACAGTACAGCCCTGAGACCCCGCACAGCTTCCCACCAGGATATTGAATATCCTGTCTCTCGCTCTCCTGTCTGTCTCGCCTCGCTCTCTCTCCTAGCTGTCTCGCTTTGCGCTCTCACCCCTCTTTCTCTCCTGTCTGTCTCTCCTCGCTCTCTCTCTCTTCTCACTCTATTCTGGCTGTCTCTTCTCGCTCTCTCCTGGCTGTCTCTCCTCGCTCTCCTGGCTGTCTCTCCTCTCCCGCTTCCTGGCCGTCTCTCCTCTCTCTCTCTCCTGGCTGTCTCTCTCCTCTCTCTATTTTGGCTGTCTCTCCTCGCTCTCTTGTTTATTCTAAAAAAAGTTGCAGTGTGGTGCTAGACTGTTCAGGTTTTGCTTGAAGAAAAGGCAGCAACCCTTGCAGCACCATTCTGACTGCAGTTCTGCAGTAGTGGTGGTATCCAGCTGCTGGATGGGTGCTTGCTGAGTCCATTCCTCTTCCCCATTTTTGTCTTGATCTTCCTCTTCATCCTATGTCTGTGTGTGTTTGCCAGGGTAACCAATTCTCCACCCAGGATATGTTCTACCCACGTGTTTCACTAATACTTTGATATTTGTTCAGTCACTCTTGGAATGTTCTTGTCATCATACCCTGTATTACATGGTTTGTCTGTTGTTATACTCTGTAAGGCACACGTGTGGGGGATTTGTTTTTTTGTCTATTTTCTGTGAAATCAATAAACTTTATTCTTTAAAAAAGAAAGATGGTTGGAAATCTGCAAGATTAAGTAAAATTATACGGTAGGAGTTGCAGGACAAAGAGCTTGGCCAAGCTGACGTTTACACCTGGTCACGGGGGGTTGTTATAGTGTAGCTTTTTTTCAGCTCCCCTTGGTCGCTGCTCTTTGGGTTCTGTCTCTCATTTAGGGATGACCTGCACTTAAGTGCAGTCTGAACATTATTGTCCTACTGCTCAGAGAAAGGGCCTTCAAAGGGTGGTGCCCCTGTAAGATCGCTGTTACCTGTTACCCTCTCTTGCTTCTCTATCTAATAATCACAAAAGGAGGACTGTGCATTGCTCTTCATGCAGCAAGGCAGATATGGAGTGCTTGAACAATTCTGTCTTCTCCATTCGGAGGTGGTTTGAAGGAGACTGGCAGGATGGTGGAGGAGCAAGTGAATAGATAGTTGATAGAATAGATACGTTAAGACAAGAGTAGACAGACATTGGAGAGAAACAAAGATAAGATAGAGTAGATATTGAAGAAATAGTTAAATAAACGTTAATGATAGATAGATAGATAGATAGATAGATAGATAGATAGATAGGAAATAGCTAATCCTGCAAGAAACCAAAGAATGCTCAATGTATTTGCCTCCGACCACAGATTTTTCTGCTCCAGTTTGATAAATTCCCCTCACTGTATTTTGGGGCTATTGCTTTTACCAGTATAAGCAGGCATAGTACAGCTTGATAAAAACACATGTGCTGTTAAATAATGGTAGATTTGGGTTATGCTGATTTTTGTCAACAAAGCAAATAGTAAATGAAAAAACAAAAAATTCCACAGGCAAAAATGACATTGCTAAAGTACACTTCCATAACAAATGCTTCCCATTCACTTCACTGCATTTTACCTTCAAATTTACCCTAAAAGAGACTTTTTGATGGGTTCACTGAATACAATTTCTGGCAATTTGCTCATCTCTACTAAAAATAACAGCCGTTATCAGAAATAATCAGTTATACGTCAGGAAATTGAGTTGATTAGGTGAAAGCTTGAACAGGAATAGTGGGGGGAGGTTTGTGGATCATGACAATCTCTTGCCTTGTGCATGTTTGCGGTTTACTTTTGATGCTGCTCGGTTGCTATGGGGAACAAGAATGTTCAGGGTGGTATCTGTTACAGAGGTTGATCCCCTCCAGCTGCATTTGCCACCACATTTCATACCCCAATAAGCACCAATTATATGAAATTGATAAGAATTTATTTGGCATTTTCCTCGAGTGAATTCAAATACTGATGCTCGCTTTGAGCTGCGCAACTGTTTCTCGAATAGGACCTAAGGGACCGCGCTGGGAGTCTCTACACACACGCCTTGCACGATCACATGATGCACCCAAATTACTGTTGACACGACCGTCCCAAAATGGTGTCCTCCTCGCAACAAGCCCCGCCCCTGACCGCCCACCAACGTCACTTCCTCGAGGGCGGGACTAGGGTGCATCACGTGACCCCAACTGCCTCCTGCTTCATGTTACCCAACAAAACAATAATTATAATGAGAATTAAAAGAATCGCGCGACAAGCACCCGGTGAAGGTCCGTGTCTGAAGTGGAAGAAGCAGGAAAGACGCCGGACGTGTGGGAAGAGCAGGGCAGCGGCCGCTGAGTGGGGGCGGGTGGAGAGGCCTTGGCCTGAGCGGGTCACGTGGTGCTGCGCTGTGGTGTTTCCCCGGTAAAGATGGCGGCTGTGAGGTAGAAAGCGGCAGCTCTGAGCGACAGCAGCGGTTCCGAGTCGATACTGCGACCGAGGGAAGATTATTCCGGGACGAACACTGTGAGTGATTACGGAGGGCGGGGAAGACATCTGTGAGTAAGCTGAGGAGGAATGGTTCACACTGAGCTCCGAGGCCCCGCCAGGCCTGATGATACCGACTTATTCCCGGCTCCCCCGCCATGTCTGAGCATAGCAAGTACATAGCGGGGGGTATGAGTTGAACTCCGGCCTCTGGCGGGTGTACGGTGACGAGCCCTGTCACTTTGACATCCAACTGCCCGGGCTGTGTTCCTCTCACTGCTTCATGTCGGGACCAAGCTGGCCTTACTGTGCTCCCTAATACCTGCGTCCTCCCCTCAATGCTTCCACACACATGCGAACCCTGGCACGGCAACACCCGCTACGTGGGCGCTGTCCTCGCCGGGACAAAGCCAAGTAAACACCATCTGCCTTCCCTTGTCCGATCCCCCAGCTGGCATGGGGCCGCCTGAGTCCACACTTCCCGGACCCAGCTTGTACTTTGTCCTCAAGCAGGGCAGCGATCACACACACATCGTGTCCAGACTCGCTGGACATTGCATTAGTCATCCCGGCCCAACCCGGAAGTTTATGTTGTGACCACGTGGTAACAGCAAGGTTGGGGAGGTCCGGGCTAACTTTCCACTGCTGACCTTTACAGTGCAGGTATGAGCACTCGGGGATCGAGTCCCTCATAGTCCACCTCCATAACCTGATCTCCATTGACATGAGCACAAGCCACACCTCTCTGATTCACTTGCAGCAACACGTGTTTTATGCCATGCCGACAAAGGATCCTGCAGATCGCTTATTTAGTGAATACTGTGTGTGGTGATGGGGGAGTGTGGAGAATCACTAAATTGTTGGGGCTCTTTTATATATTTTACTGGGCTACAAATGGAGTTGATTATGTATGACATATGGTAGACTTGTTGAAGTATGTAATAGATGTGCATTGTCACATAAGCCATACATTGTAGTCGTGTAAATGATAAATTTTAGTCATATAAATATGCTGATACATTTCAACTAGGAGCGATGGTGTCAATGTCATAGTGTTACATAAGATTTGCTGTGCATCATGTCATTTTTACATTGGATTGCTGACAATGCACGGCACCATTTCCTTAAGAAATCTGTTTTATTGTGTAATTTAGCCTTTCTGCAGTTCATTAAGGACAGCCAGGGGTTTTGTTTTATTGGAGATGGTTTGTTTAGGAATTGGAAGTACTTGTCCTCTGTTTTGCCTTAAGGCGGATCCATAGATTGACCTTTTTAGAAAGGTGTCCTCTCCCTTCTTAGTCTCCATGGAAATGCTGTAGTTACCCATGTCTGTTAAAATGCAGTGATTGTCTGTCTTTTACATGACTTTTAACACTTTTTTTTTATTTCTTGTTTTTTAGATGATGGATCCAAATCAGGATTTGTTGCTTGCCGCTCTGAGCGAGTGTGGCATCAGCCCTAACGATCTTTTTGATGGAGATTCATTGGATATAGGTCTCCTTGCTCCAAGCCCGACCCCCATCAACCAGCAAGTATGTTGGGGGAAATTGTACTTGGCTTTTGCTACCTTGTGGATGTATGGGATCGATATTTTCATTTTTTTTCTTTGTGACATTTTGCGTTTCAAAGTCTTCTTCTCTTTGGGCTCCTAGTACGCCAATGCCTTGCTTGCGCTACCAATTCTGTGACCTTTACCTGTGTACTGAGAGAAATATGGAGTTTGCCATTGCTCAGGAGTCACTAACTTGGAACAAGCATGCAACGAGCAAAGTCGGAGACCATAATCCACTTACTTGTGATAGGTCTAATAGTATTAGACCCTTTTGAATCAACATTGTAGGCATATAGCATTTCCTAAAGGCATTTTTTTCCCCCCTAAGTACAGGTTTGCTAACAGATGGACACATTGGTGATGTATCTGTTGGTCAAGTCAAGAAGTAACAATATGTGGGATTTTAGGCTTCTGAAGTCCTTGGACTGATGCATGTTGTTACATCTATTACATTCCTGTGAAGTGTTTTCCTTCTTTAGGCCCCATTCACACTAAGCGATATACCTTTCAAGCGGATCCGCGCAGCTGGGATAGCGCAACCTTCGCCATCGGGCTGCATAAAAAAAAAGGATATTCGTGGCGACATCCGCGGGGAAAAGGGGTCCTGCAGGCATGACTTGCGACCACGACGGGTGACATGGAGCTGTACATTAAGACCGCTCTATTGAAAATCATTGGACGGTAACTTCTCGCGATATCGTGCAGCAGAAATGCGTGATATCGATGCGGAAATCGTGGGATTTTCCGCTCAGTGTGAATGGGGCCTTGCACAGCACTGAGCTCTGAAATTCAGGGTACTGTTGGATGGGCAAACGTGTAATTCTATAGCTGGTATGACCTGCTTACCATATAATTACAGTAAGCTGTTGGGAAAATAATGACTTTGAATGCTCTTTTGACATTGGATAAGTAGTCCTGCAATACTTTTAATGTGTTTTTTTTTTAATTTTTTATAAGCAAAACAAATGGCAAACTCACTCATCAATTCATAACCAGCTTTAAAGCAAGGTGCGCATGGAAGGGCTTTAAACAGTACAACATCGAAAAGTTTCCTGGCACACTTGCCTGCCAGCCTGGCTTCTACATATTCTGCAGAAGACGTGCAACTAAGACCTCTGTTTTTAACTGTAGTAGTTAGTATTTTTTTGCTGGCTGGTAAGTGTGCTGGGAAACTTTTTGTTATTTTCTTTTAATATTCACCAGTGGTTTTGTTAGAATTTCTAATTTAGTATGCTGATGTATTGTAGAGACAAATCCAAAGATGACCATAGTTTTTGTAGGCAGCAAATGTTGAAAGGTAGAAAAGACTGAAGTACATTGCAACATGTAATATTTGTCAATGAAGCTTTGATGGTACTAGGAAAATGTTTTCCATTTTTAAGTGTAATTTGTATGCTTGTCTGTTAGTATCAGCAAAGCATTCTATATGTAAAGGACAGATTTACTCTTTGACCATGTTTCATGTTCTTATATTGAGGTGTAACATAAAACATGGCCACATTGCACTTCCACTATCAGATCTGTGGCAGTAGGGAGCTCTAACCACACTCCTGGCTGCTAGCTATTGGCTTTCATGTAGAAGTGATTTGGCCACCCGATTGCTTCTACACCCCTGCATAAAGCATCACCAATGGACAATTTGGGGTAACAAGTTTTTTTGCCATTTCACGGGTACACACAATTTTGAGGATTAATAAGTCTGATATTTTAATCAGCGCGTCCTCATTTATAATTTACCAATAAATTTGGTATTATATTGTGCTTGTCTGCACTAAAATTAATTTGATTTTTTAATGGAACATTTGGAACTGTTGCGCTAATATTGTATGATGTAAAAAATTGCAACTGCCAACATTTTCTACTACAGGGTCTCTGCTTTCAGAAAATATATAATTTTGGGGGGTTTATTCAATTCTCAGGCCTAAAATGTGCATTTTAACGTGTGCGAACATTGCTAAAACAGCTCTGGCAGTGAAAGGGTTATTGGTACTTGGTCAATGTTGAGTTGAGGCGCATGGTCATGGCCAATAGCTGGGTGAATACAGTCCAAAAGGTAACAGTAGCCTAATGTATGGATAGCTGTATGTGCTTTTATTGTATTTAAAGGAGAATTATGAGGGGTGCTTTTCACTCACCTCATAGTTCTAGCCGACCTGTGACAATGAGACTGTCACAGGTCGGCTCAATAGATCGGGAAGTGAGCGAACACATACCGGCGTTCGCTCACCTCTCGATCCTGTCGCAGCCCTCTTCCATGGCAGGGGAGGGGCTGAATTCCCCGCTCCGATCCGCTAGCGCTGACTGGCGGATCGGGAGGGGGTGGTACAGCTGGCTCTGCCTCTAGATAGGCAGAGCCAGCTGTCACTCACGCAGCTGGGCGGATCCAGACATAATTGTCGGGATCTGCTTCAGCTGTGGCGTCTCAGTATGCCGCGAGCAGTAGCTCGCGGTATACTGTGGTGTCTCAGTATACCGCGAGCTGTAGCTCGCGGTATACTGAGCTTAGGGTAACGGGAGGATGCTAGTTTGTGTCCTCCCGTTACCCTAAGGAGAACTATGGGGAAAAGCCTTGACCCCATAGTTCTCCTTAATCAGTCAGATCAAATGCAGTCACTGAGCATTTTGACAGCTGTCAGAATACAGTAGCACTAAATGAGAGAAATCTTAATGTGTTCGGCTATCCTAAGGCTACATTCACACCTAGGCATCAGTTTTTGCACACGGTTTCAGCTGGCGTTTTTTTCCACGTTTGTTGCACATTTTCACGTGCGTTAGACACGCGCATATGAATAAGCGCATCTCGACTGGCAGACCAAAAACATTGCGATCAATGGGGAAAAGCGCATAAAAATATGGGTTGCGTGTCTTTTTCCATTGCAGTCTATGGGACAAAACGTGCACAAAATGTAGTAGATCCCATCGCCCTCCTGACTGGATCAAGCCCACATAGAAGGTTGGGGTTGCTGGAAGTGACTGCGGATGCCTCAGCATATCAAACGTAATAAGCCCAAAAGTCACTCGCACTCCATTTCAAATTACAGTCAATCTCCTTTATCGACTATTGTGATGCCTCATTACTAAAGCGGCGGTTCGGAACAAAGTGGTCCCTTCAGGCAAACAAAAAGCGCCCCAAAGAAGCTCAGGAACATTTTTGACCAACGGGCGTTTTGCAGCTTGCAACAAAACACTTAGCTGTGAATGGGGCCTTAGCTATGTTCTGCTAACATTCTCGGTTGTTCAGAGAAAGCTGCCCTACACCTGGCGATTATCGGTACGATAATCGTCAGGTGTATGGGCAGCGTGCGACCGCATATACTGTAAGGTCGCACGATTTTCGTCTTACGAGCACGCTTGAAAACCCGCCGTAAATCGTACGATTTTCGGCCGCTTGGTGGCACGTCACAAGACGAAAACCGCACGGCCTGAGGTGCGCAGGCGCACACTACCCACTCACCATTTCAAACATCTGTAAGCCCTCCCCTCAGCGGGGAGGACATGCGATGATCGCAAGTACGATCTGCATGTCCAAGATGGGCAGGTCGTACTAACTTTTAATCACCTTACAACCATCGCACCACGAAACTCGTGCGATGGTTGTAAGGTTTATGGACAGCTTAATTAGCAGAGTTTTGTTTTGTTTTTTTTCCAGTTTTGTAGGAGTATATTTAATGTGATATTAAAGACAAAATGGTTTTTAAGCTTTTTCAAATTCTTATTAACCACTTTGAAGACTGAAGTGTTAAACCCCCTTCCCATCCAGGCCATTTTTCAATATTCAGCGCTGCGGTACTTTGACTGACATTTATTCAGTCATGTAACGCTGTACTGAAATTAATTTTATGCAATTTTTTGGGGACAGATAGAGCTTTCTTTTGGTGCTATTTAATCACCACTGGGGGTTTTATGTTTTACTGTAATAACAAAAAAGTACCCTAAATTTTGAATAAAAACCTATGTTATGAAACATTTATGATCACCCCAATTTTTAGTAAAATATAAAAGATGGGGTCTAGTTGAGTAAATAGACACCAAACACGTCAAGCCTTAAAATTGCGTGCGCAAACAAAACCTCAAACAACCACACCCAACATTGGCAATAGACGATGCTTGAAAGCTTTTAGCGTTCATCAGTTTAGTGTTATCAGTGATTAATGACCCTAAAATTATTACTCTCACTCCGACGTTTGCGGCCATATGTAACGTGCGGCGCAATTGTTTTCGCACATGGGCGCACCCAACGCATGTTTGCGTGTGTATGTGGGGGCCGGGGGTAAACCGTACCTATTACAAGCAATCGGGCGTCTCTACAGACGCCAGATCACTTCTCATCGCTGGCTATTTGCAGTTTTGAAAAGTTTCCCTGTGTGTGTGTGTCGTTTAAAGACGCCCACACGCTCCTACGGGAGGTGGTTAAATCACTTAAATAGATGCTGCTCCTTGATGTTTAAACATTTTAGCTTCCTGTAGAATCAGCTGGTGCCTTGAGCCCTGATATTTTGTTTTAGGGTGACTCTTTACCTTTGCAGAGTCCTATGAAAGTAACCACTGCATGTCTCCACAAACACACAGGCACAGCAAGCCAATATACTTTCCTCCTACCTGCTCCACTATCTTCCAATGTACTTCTTCCAGCCTCCAAGCTAGTAGATGGGGAGCTGCTGGAGACTGCTCTGTCCTTTTTGTGATCTTGTACTGGACAGGGAGTTCAGGGAAGCTGAGCTGAGAGAGTTGGAGCTGTTTAGAAACATTTTGACTAAGTGCTTGGGCAAAAATTTTAAGAAATACTTTGCTGGGCATTGTACAGTACTGTATATTCTGGAGTCATTATTGAAAAAACAAACAAACAATTGAGTATAATACTACTTTAAATGCCTGTCTGGTTTTATTTCTATAAAGAGCGCATTGAGGACTTTTAGGCAAAATCTCACTCGTATGTTAAAACTTAATAAAAATGTTAAGACCCACATTGCATGTGAACACGCACAAAATCCTATGTTTTCTACATTTTATTTAAAAATGCAGACCCTGAAAAAAATCACAAATGTTAGAGATAAAATTCCATAGAACAAAATGTAAAATTAATTTTATCTCCCCATTGGTTTTTGTAGTTGAACAATAATAAAGAGGAAAAAAAACCCGTTTCAGTGGAGTAATAGATATAGCACTATAGATTTCTGCAGACTATGTTCTGATCTGTAATGTCGGTTTGTATAAAAACTGAGCATTTTCCATGAGATTAGAACTCCAAAACAACGTTCCTGTGTATTCAGTTTGTCTGAGCGAGGGCCATATCTCATTCAATCTGTGTGTTGTATTTTATTTCCTCAGGGCTGGGTTTTGTTTGTTTTACATTTTCACTGCTTTCTATGTGCTTGGTGGGGAGATCCATCCTCTATCACCTCGTGGACGTGGTCAGTGGGACAAAAAGTGATGGGAAATCCAAAATTTTACAGTTGACTGAACAGGAAAAGGGAGCGCTTTTAATGGGGACACCTTTCTAGTTGATGGCCGTCTAAGGAGATTTCTCCTTTCTTTCTTTTCTACTCTTGGGACACAGCGTGAAGTAAAATCTGAACAGGGCACAGCAAAAAAAACTAAACAACAGGTTTTTATCAGTCCCTTCTCTACCAAAAATTCACTTTTGGCTTTTCAAATACTTTAGAGACCCTGTCAGGTCTCTGTAAACAAATCTAAGAGTCAGTTCTCTGAAAAAGAAGCGGTAGTAGTTTTGCCTTTCTGGTAGTCCTGTGACTCCTACCTCCCCTCCAGTCCACTGCTGCAGCCTCTTGCAGTCTTTTGGGGACCTCAGATCCTTCAGCAACCTGACAGTCTCCTTGAAAGATAAAGCTGCATTATAACTGCTTAAATTTAAGTTTTAGATTATTTCAAATGCCCATTGGTAATTGTTTCTTTTTAATTTGGGTTAGGTCTGGTTATTATCTGGTCTGGTTGGGTCTGGTTATTATTTTCAACATAGAAAGTGCATTTAGACAGGGAGATGTCACTGTCCAGTGTCTGAAGTCTCATTGATGATGAAATGAGATGGTAATGGTTTTTTTTGTACCAAATTCATATATTTGGCATAATGTCAGGCATTTTTTTTTTCTTGAAGAAGAATTATGGGGAGAGTGAAATACACTCATCCCCATAATTAGAACCAGACGTGTGATACTGCAGCGGTCACAGTTTGGCTCTATAGATCCAGAACTGAGTAATCACATACCGCTAATCGCTCAGTTTGATCTTCTCATTGCAGAGAGCGATGACTGTCAGTCAGAGCTCCCCGCAGCAATTCCCCCCCCCCTCCTCCCCTCTGCCTTCCTCCAGCGCTGACTAGACCGGATCGGCAGGGACAGCTGGCTTTTATAGCTGGCTCTGCCTTTCTAGAGCCAATCAGATGGCGGCGTGGATCCCCACAATATTGTTGGGATCTTTCTGGGGCACAGCGTGGCTCTGCGATTGCAGCAATAGCCGGCTAAAAGCTGAGTTTTGGGTCACAGGAGGACATTAGTAAATGTCCTCCTGTGACTAGTGAACTACAGCAAAAAAAGGTTGGACCATACTGCTTTTTTAACTTAGGCCAGTGACAAAGCATTTATGTATGAGTCCATATATTTCTGTTGCTGGAACTGCTCAGCAGTTGGGTAGGGTAGCAAACGGTTGTGCAGTCTGCAAATGGAACAGATGTCCAGCTACAGTATAGATTGACTATGTAATACAGTGCAAAACAAATGAAGCAGGTGACTATTCTGCTTGCAGATGTCTTCTAGTTTAACCATAAAATGTTCATTTATGTAAATGGACCCTAAGGAAGAAGCAATTGATTTATCCTGTAATCATTTGTCTTTTATTTTCCACCAGTCTGTGCCAATTGGTGCTTTAAGTGGAAACAAAGAGAGTGAAGCATCAGTTTCTATAAAACAAGAACCAATGTCTGTAACAACCCCAGCATTGCTGAATGTCCGGGTAAGGTTCCTATTTCTGCTTAAGCACGCTTTAAGTGCAGCATGCATTAAAGTATATCTAAAGCCAAATACTTGTTCTCACCGCCTCCCCCCGCATTTTTAAAAACTTTTTGGATAGAATAGGGAATGATTAAAACCGGTCCTCTGTTGTCCGCATTGAATCTTTTACCACTCACTTTTCACTATGTTGCAGTTGGCCTGTGCAAAATATTACGTGCAAACAGTAAATGGGAACGTTCATGGATAGTACTTGTATAATGTGGAAGGTGATGGATTTTCCATTTTATGTTTTGTTGTTGAAGGGTCAGGTTGTTTACTGTGCTAATGTGCATTGGAGACCCATTTGAAATAAATGGGAATGCCTGCCAAAATGTATGCACAACTCGTGCTAGCAATGCGATTTAGTGTAGATGCATATTTGTGAGTCCAAGTAAACGCAAACCTGATGTGGCAATTCAGTGTTCAGAGAAGTGCTGTACTTATCAAATTCCAGGGGAAGCCGTATCATGTGCATGTCTTACCACCCTCTGTCTATGATGAACTTTGCAGCGAGTGGTGCAGTAGGTTTGTCCAAAGTTACATGTTACTAAATAGGTTATTTTGTTTAGCACAATTTTGGGAAATGTGCCTATGTTGACAACATCAAAAAAAACATAATTTCATTGAGTATGTCTGTGAAGGTTCTCATTCATCCAGGTCATGGTATATCTGTAAACAAAAAGTCAAGGCAACTGGACTTGCTGTATTTTTTCTTGAAGATGTTTCACTGGTCATCCAACCAGCTTTCTCAATTCAGAATTACTTGAGAATTTTTATACAAGTCGTTCTGAATTGAGAAAGCTGGTTGGATGGCCAGTGAAACGTCTTCAATAAAAATACAGCTAGTCCAGTTGCCTTGACTTATTTTTTACAGATATTTATGGATGAGACAATTTATAACAGTGCCAGCTGCTAAAATCCAGGAAAGGGGACAATCTTCAATGATTGTGGAAACAGACGCTAACGAGGCAGCTCTCACTAGGTTTAGGGAAACCTCAGCACTGCAAAACAAAACAGAGCGCCTCCATCACGTAGAAACTTTTAAAACAAGATAAAAACAAGTGCAATGGTACTCGCAAAAGTCGAGATGAAACGGGCATGAAAAGGCCTGCTGGCTAAGTCCCTCGTGTAAAGATCCTTTTCATGCCTGTTTCAACTCGACTTTTGTGAGTACCATTGCACTTGTTTTTATCTTGTTTTAAAAAAAGTTTTTACGCGATGGAGGCGCTCTGTGTTTTATTTGTGGATGAGGTTAAAAGCTGGAGCACTAAGTAACTGTAAAAAACACCTTTAGCCACTTTACCTGTAACTGAGGACAGAGGTTTTGCTGAAACTAACATTTAAATTCACTTCTCTTTTTATATCCTGGAAGTCACTCACAGGGTTACTTATTGTGTAAAAGAGTAAACTGATCACTTGTGAAGAGCTGTAATCTATGACAGCCTATCAAATTTGATGTACCGACAACAAATCAATCAAATAGGACTTTTTTGTTTGGGAACTGTGATGACGGCAATTTGTGCATTGCTGTTTGACGAAAGCAGACCAAGTTATTACTGTAATACTTTGATTTCCCATTCAGTGCTTCCCTGAACTATAACTTTTAACATGGCCAGATTTGGGGAATTCTGTAAGCACCAGGGAATTTCCTGTGTTGACTTTTTTTTTTTTTTTGCAGAATCGTTTAGCAACAGGTCAAAATAAAATACAGAAGTGTTTGTACACTGAAAGCAAACGATCCTTAAACTTTACTGAGCATGAAATACCACCTCCCACTTTTCCTGCATTTTAATTTATTGTCCAAAGGTTTGGAAATATATCAACAATTGAGTTTTTTTGTTTTAATTTTGTTCAGGTTGTTTTTGTTCAGGTTGTTTTTTTAACTTTACTAACTTTAAAGACAAAATTCCTTAAAATATGTAACTTATTTTTTTCAGCCTCCATCGACAACAACATTTGTTCTGAATCAAATCAACCAATTGCCAACGCTTGGTAACACAATTGTGATGGCAAAGACGACTCCTGTTACTACTACCCGACAGACTATTACAGTAACAAAAATCCTTCAAACAAGTGCTACAACGAGGCCATCCACAGCTTCCCCTGTAGTGCAGGCCACTGTGACCTCTGCACCAACAAAAGAACAAATTCAGTTAAAGGATCTACTGAAAAATAGCAGTCTAAATAAGTTAATGAAACTGAAACCACCTGCAAACATTGTCCAGCCAGTTGCAACGGCAGCAAGTAACTATCTCCTACTTTTACTTCTAGTTTGTTTGAATTTCTTGCATGCAATTATTGTAAGATCCTACACCCCCCCTCTGCCATGCGAGCAAGATAATGAACAGTACTATGGTGTAGCACAAAAGAAAAATAGTAACAGTGTTCTCAGAGGAGAGGACACTGTTGAGAGATGGTTACTAAACAGACCGAGACCTTTTTCTTGTAAAAATATAAACTTTATTTGTTACAAAATAGGCTCCAGGGTACCAAACACTTTTTTTCTCTACTATGGTGTAGCAGCCTGCTTACAAGTGATCTGAGCAGCTGTAAATCCACCCAGATCACTTGTACAAAGCGAGCGGTGGCTTCTCCCGCTCTACCTTTTAGCCCTGCTTGTCTCAAACAGGGCTAAATGTAGAGGGGAAAAAACATGCAATCGGAACTACGTGTCCTGGGCGATAGGAATTCTGATCCCCTGTTGTGTCAGAGATTGGGATGACCTGACATCTGGGCACAGTGGGGACACTGAAACCTGCTGCAGTTATGTGCAGGTTTTTTTAAGTAGCTTATTTTAAATGTCTAAAGTGAATCTTAAGGCAAGAGTAACAGACTTTCACATTAAGGCAAAAGTAACAGGTTCTCTTGGTAGACCCATGTCCACCTGCTGGAACCCTAAGTCGAATATATGTGTATCCTGTGTGTCTGTGCTTACACAGGGTTTATGACCTTCTCCCCTCACCTGTGAGACATTGTTAGGGCCTGGCAGTACTTCTTGGGAAGAATGGAGAGTACCAAGCATTTCCGAGGGCTCTGACAGGAGAAGGGGGGGGGGGCACTGCAGTGTGTGTGTCAGTGCAAAGGGTTTTAGGAGATCCTGTCACTTTGCCCTAAATAGGCCCAAGTGACATGTTTTAAGTGCCCTGCTGATACCAGGCTATGTACCCTTTTAATACGTAAGAGGCATGCTTTGAGGGGGTCTCCGAAAAAGGGCAAAGCTCCTATAGTACCTGTGATTGACACTGGTGGGTACCAGTCTTTACGGCTTTGCCTATGCCAAAGAGGTGCTGGCAATGAGCGGGTGTTTTTGTGCACGCTACATGCACACAGATTGCCATCAATACCCTGTGAAATGTGCTTGCTTAAAAATGTTTGCATGAACAAAATGTGAAGTCATTTATGTAATGCACAAAATATTTTGCTTAACCAACAACTTCATAGTTTAGTACTTGGGAAGGTCTCTGTAACTGAGTCACAAGCCTCATCCACCCAATGATTTATTAATGACTTCACTTTCACTACTATATTCTACAGCTATACACAGGAAGAACCCACCACAAGGGACGCTGCTACAGATATTTTTAAATGTTTTGAATAGCATCAGTAAGGGAGTTGATCTGGTGATACTGTCCTTACCTGTGGCATGTTTAAGGGCTTGTTCACACCATGTCCGGATTATGTCCAGAACAGTTTGTTCCCGGACCGAAAAAAGCATTCTAATGTATCCCTATGGTATTTCTGGGCTCTGTTCCCACCTGCGCAGTCTGTTCAGTCCAGACAAAAAAAATAAAGCTTGTATGATTTTCTCTGGTACGGAATGCGATGGAACGCTTGGAAACGCACTGGGCTGCATCTGAAAGCCCATTTTAAGATTTAAAAAAACCAGCACCAGAACGCTGTAAAATCGCACTGCGCTTGCAGATCTGCTCCAGACATGGTGTGAACATACCTTAAGCCTTCCAGCATTTTGACCGGACCACAGGCATAATGTGCCTTGCGTTCCCGTGCAACAGATCGCATTGCGGCTGGAGGGCGTGGCTATGTTGCCATTCACTTCAATGGACCGCCATGCCCCCTCCTGCCCCACAACATACTGAGCTGGCCACAATGCGATGCAGTGCGTTCTGTCCACAATCTGGCTGGAACGCACTGCATCTGGTGTGAACGAGGCCTTAGTGTCAACCTATTTACCAAAATCTGAATATTTGTAAATGGTTTAAGTATATAATATTGTATCTTGCTTGAGGTTTTCATAACTTGTAATATATGCGCATGCTTGCTTGGAACGACATTGTTTTGTAGTATTGAAAAATAAATTGTTTGTTGCAGAAATTGTCATTTTTTCTCCAAAGGTGGTAAGTGCCACCAAACCAGGTAAGGGATATATTTTCTTCTGGTGTAGGCTTTTTGGTTTTGTTTTTTTGCACAACTTCATGAATGTTTATTCACGTGGATTTTTTTGGGTGAACATTGGCTTTAAGTATAGTGTTGACATCTCTACCCTTCCTCCTATGAAATATTCCCTAGGCATGGAAGCAGATTGCTTTAAACCTATTTTATTAAAATCCGTAGTTGTTGGCCCATGTCTCCTGGAGACTAATTCAGTTTAATGTCAACTGATAGCTTTCAGAAACAGTCCCATGGGCCATTTTAATTGACTTTTTTTTTTTCAATTAACTGATATGTTAGCTTATTTGAGGAAGGGATAGATGGAAACAACTTAATATGCACAATATATTTTCTGGGTAATTAGAAACATTTAGATAGGCTACTGTCTGAAAACATCACACATTTATTCACTTTGTTTGCTCTGCTTTTTTTCTGATGTTTTAACTTGACATTGTGTTCCAGCTGAGATGATCAATGGTGCAAAGAAAGATATTACTAATAAGGAAGTGACAAGAATTTGGATCAATGATGACATTAAGATGAGAAGCTTTTCACCAACTAATGTAAGTTGAGTCAAATTTTAACTCTGTATTGTCATTGTTCATTTTGTTTGCTGGAGACTTCTTTTTGTCAAAACTGTGCTCATAGGTTGACCACTTAAATAAGAAACTTGAACCTTTTTTTTTTTTTTTTAAATCTTCTGTTGTTGGCCAATTGCCCTGCAGACATGTTTGCTCAGCCTTAATCTAGCTGTGCACTGGTAGTTTTTTCGTACTGAGGTTCATACAAAAAATCTCGTCCGAACATTTGATAATGGCATGAGTTGCCAACTGTTTGAATTTGATTGAGTTTAACATTTGTTTTTGGAATAAATGCAGTTTCCCGAGTGAAAGCCATTTTTTAAATTAAGTTTTTGTCTAAGTTTTCTAAAGTTTGTGTAAAAATTGCCGTCCTGCTCCTTCAATTTTTCTTTTTTTTTCCTATCATTACTATCGATAGCAATTGTTTGACCCTATTGGCAAAAAAAATAAAAATCTAATGAACATACTGGAAACAGGTCGTGTTTTTTTCTAACTGTGTAGACTTGATTTTAGCTTTGTGTCTTGGGACATTTAATGCTCCGTTTCTGGGCACACCCTTTTTGTTTTTTCCCCTCTGTGAGATTGGGGAGCCGGATTTTGACTCATGGTTTCTGTTACATTGGCTTATTGGGTTACTTTATTTTAACTTTGTAACTAAAATTTGGAAATATAGTCTATTTTTGCTCCTTTTAGTCTCATCCAGGATACAGAGTTTAATACCTTAACAAAACCTTAGTAATTTTTTTTTCTTTTTGTTAACTGTTTGCAGAAAGTTAAAGAGGATGACGAACCAGAGGAAGAAGATGAAGAAGAGATGGGCCATGCAGAAACCTATGCTGAATACATGCCAATAAAACGTATGTTATTCCTAGTTTGTAAATTTTCATACTGCTTAAATAGTTTGTTATATCACGTTACTATTGACCGAACAGGGGTTTCAACCTCCAACAGGTGTTTGCATTTCTTTATCTGATGGGGACCCATTACTTTTGAACCCTTGGCTAGGCTTAACAGAATAGCTCTCCCTAAAAAAGGCAAATCCTTCCTGTATTTTAAAGGTTTTCACTAAAGAACACAGGGCAGATGTTTGTATTCTGTTTCTTTTTGCAGCCTGTAAAACAGAACTCCAGACATCACTACAATAACCTTTAAATTAAATACAACTGTTTTTTCATGGCAAAACATTTTCCATTTTAGACAGCCTTGAATTAGACAGCTATTCCACACTGCATTGGAAGGTAGGTGACACCAGTATTGGCCTGTTTCAGACTTGCAGCGTCACATTGCTGAGTCCTTGTACTACAAAGACGCAACAAGGACTGCAGCATGAAATAGTAGAGCCATTCTACCATTCTACATTATGCATAGAAATATGTGTAATGTATAAGCAGAAGATGCAGAAAGCTGTGTTGACATGGAAGACTAAGCCTGACACGAATGGGATCAGGGCAAATTTCCAACTTAATAATCTGTGTGCTGACAAAAAAAACTCTTTTAAAAATAAAAGGAGCATGCCATCGGAACAAATAACGCTAGTTTGCCTGATAGCAAGCACATCATATCCTGCTTCTCTTAACTGAAAGCTGGAGCTCTTTGGCTTGATTTCAAACTGTAAGACAAGTGAATACTTTGAATTATGGGATGCCCAGGATAATATAAAGCTTTGCTTTTTTTTCCTGGAGACAGTTTGCTTTAAAGAAAACCTGTTTAAGAAATATAGAGGCTGTGGTTGCTATCAAAAATACTAATTGCTTGGCTCTCATGGTCCTTCTTCCTTCACCACAAGTACAAGGACTTTCCTGATCTTCCTACCTTGGAGGTCGGTAACTGCAAGTGTTAAACCCACTCAGGCAGTACAAAAGCTAAGCAACTAGAATTTTCAGAAGATCCGCAATGGCAGCCCCTTTTAATGGACTTTTTTTTTCACCTAGTGTTTCTTGGTAAAGGCTTGCATTAAAGGCCCTTGCCTACAAAAAAAATATTTGGTTACTATTACACATTTTCATTCGGCTGGTTCATAGTCACTTTCAATAAAAGTTCTTAATCCTAATTCACACCTAGGCGTCAGCGTTTCCGCACATTTTCCCTTTGCACGTTTTTTCGTGCTTTTCACATGTTTGTGAGTTTCCCCCTAAATGCGCGTTTTGGACGTGTTTCTGCATATGGGTGTGTTGAGTGTTGTCCAATGAAAAGAAGTCCTGCCCATGACATAATAAACTTCTACACATTAGCCAAGGGTTAACAACATCAGCCTTTCAGCAGCTGTGGAACTACAAGTCCTGTGATGCATATAAAAGTCTGTACACCCAGAAAAGAAACAGGCATGACACCCAGAGGTAGCTGCATACTGGCATTTGTAGTTCCACAACACCTGGAGATCTACAGCTGCACAGACCTACAATAGCCACACAGGCAAGCAGAAACATAAGCTACAACAGTATCACAACAAACTTTAGATGCACCACATGCCACACGTCACATGCACATGTTTTACCTTTGCTGTCCTTCAGGGATGTAGGGAACGATTCCCATTCTGGCCTAACCTGGCATGCAATTTGTATACAAGCCTGCCTCCTCCTTCCTCTGTTTTTATAAAGGGGTTGCGCAGGTCATACAGGCATGGTTGTGCCTGTATTGGACTTCTAAATGCCTCAGAATCAACATTTTGCAGACATGAATCGGCCATTTTGTTTCTCCGTGTGCTTTGCAGGTGATCTTCCACAATGTATATGCGCCTTAAAAACGCACGTTCTTTCTGCACAAAAACCTGTCTAACCACTAAGGTTAAAAGCAGAGGTTTGGATACACGTCTTCTGCAGAAAATGTGAAAGCCGCACAGCCACGTCAAGGCACCTCCATATAGTGCGGTCCTAACTCTAAACTATGAGTCTCCATTTTGGAGCACATGGGGCAAAATATTAAATTGGGTGCAGGTTTGTCAGGAGGAAGCCCAACCTCCCTTAAAGGCACAGGTACGCACAAGGGACCCCGCACATCACAACGGCAGCTGAGACCCCCCCCATGCGTCACTGCACCAAATCAGTCAAGCAAAACAAATGACAAACGCACTCATCAATTCGTTACCACCTTTACAGCAAGGTGCACACGGAAGGGCTTAAACAGAAAAAAGTTTCCAGGCACACTCGCCAGCATGCAAAAAAACCTGTCTAACCAATAAGGTTAAAAGCAGAGGTTTGGATACACGTCTTCTGCAGTAAATGTGAAAGCCGCGTCAAGGCACCTCCTTTTTCTGTTTGAAGCCCTTCCGTGTGCACCTTGCTGTAAAGATGATAACGAATTGATGAGTGCGTTTGTCATTTTGTTTTGCTTTCTGCACAAAAACCCCACATGCACGTTTTTCATTGAAATCTATGGAGCACAAACGCGCTGAATCTGCCTGAAAGAAGCCCATGCTCCTTTTTCCAGCGTTCAGCGTTTTTACAGCTTGCTGCTAAACTCTCAGGTGTGAACAGGGGCCATAGAATTGAATCGGAATTCTTGTGTTGTGTGTTTTGACGCTTAAGCTTTCAGCGTCAAAATGCCCAGGTGTCAACAGGGACTTAAGCAAAAACATACATAAATGTATTTTATTTTTTCTGTCCCCATACATTAGTTAAAGTTGGGCTGCGGCATCCGGATCCTGTTGTAGAAACTAGCTCCCTCTCCAGTGTGACGCCTCCAGATGTTTGGTTTCAGACTTCTATCCCTGAGGAATCCATTGACCATGGCTGGCTATCTGCTCTGCAGTTGGAAGCTGTAACCTATGCTGCACAGGTTGGTTACAAACTTTGCAAATAATTACATAAGGTACATTTTTAATATTAATTTCCCTTTGCTGACAGTACATTGTTCTTGTTTATAAAGCAACATGAAACTTTCCTTCCTAATGGTGAGAGAGCTGGATTTTTAATTGGAGATGGTGCTGGCGTTGGAAAAGGAAGAACCATTGCTGGAATCATATATGAAAATTATTTGCTAAGTAGGAAAAGATCTCTGTGGTAAGTTAAATATGAACTAACATTACTTAACCTCTTCCATAAGTTGACTAGATTCTGCCTTTGGTCACATTGCTGTGCACCTTTATCTTAAGATGACACATACATGGTGATGCTAATGGTAGAGATGTATAGATAACTGATCATTAGCTCTAGAATATTTGGATATCATATCCTCTAACAGGTTTTGTTCTGCAGGTTTAGTGTGTCAAATGACTTGAAGTATGATGCAGAAAGAGATCTGAGAGATATTGGAGCAAAAAATATTTCGGTCCATTCTTTAAACAAGGTTGGTCAAATGAATTCTGTAGACCATATCAAATTATTTCATTACATCTTGCACTAAGGTTTACTAAGTTTGTTTTCTATCTCTACAGTTTAAATATGGTAAAATCTCATCAAAACATAATGGAAGTGTGAAGAAAGGTGTTATATTTGCTACCTACTCTTCTCTGATTGGTGAAAGTCAGTCAGGGGGTAAATATAAAACTCGTTTAAAGCAGCTTCTTCATTGGTGTGGAGGGGACTTTGATGGCGTTGTATCCTTTTAATTGACCAGATTTCACGTCCCTATATTTTATTTATTTTTTTAATCTGTCCAATGTATATGACAAATTCACACATGTTTTGTGTACAAAATAAGTTATGGCAGCTAAAGAAATATGTCCATTTTCTTTTGTTGTTCCTTAATTTGTTAATTTCAAACAGATTGTATTTGATGAATGTCACAAGGCTAAAAATCTTTGTCCAGTTGGTTCCTCAAAACCAACTAAGACTGGCTTAGCGGTGTTGGAGCTACAGAACAAGCTGCCTAAAGCCAGAGTTATATATGCTAGTGCCACAGGTATGTGCATTATTGTTAGCAAGATGATAAACCACATCTTTTCACTTCACCATTTTTACGAAGCTCTTGTCCTCCAGGTGCCTCTGAGCCAAGAAATATGGCTTATATGAGTCGTTTGGGAATTTGGGGCGAAGGTACTCCATTTAGAGAGTTTAATGACTTCATCCAGGCAGTGGAAAGAAGGTAGGGTTGTGTACTTTTATAGTTCTATAACTGAATAAAATGTATTCTGTTTTCCTATTTTGATCATCTGTATTGGCAAAGCTTTTAAGTGAAGTTAGATTATGTATGTATGACTAATTTCAATAAAAGGAACCCTAAAACATGATAAGCTATTTAGCACTATGTTGCTGATATTTGTTCCCCCTCCTTTACCATTCACTTTCCTAAACCATACCTTGTGTGGCCAAACTTATGCTTGGTGCTTTTCTGATTGACTTGGCCAAATTGCGTCTGAATAGACAATACAGTTACATGACTAATTTATAGCGTGTTGTACGGATTTACAGTGAGATCTATGAAGCTTCCACTCTCGATGTAAAGCAGCAGCAGTATATGGCATATGATTTAATCTTTAGTTTTAAAGAGCCAAGATAGTTGGTGTATTAAAAACAGGTACATGTTTTGATTTAGTTTAGTTACCCATTTTCTAATCTGTATACTGCCTGCAGTGCCAGGCTTGCACATAATAGTGTCTATTGCTGTAATGGGCAGCCTAACTGGCCATTTGGGTGGTGGGGAGTGCTCTCCTGATATTATATGTAGACATTCGTGTATTATGTTGGAGCTACAGAACAAGCTGATTAAAGCCAGAGTTATATATGCTAGGAAATCTGCAGACAGCCACCAATGGTCTGCACATGCATACTTTATGCACTAAAGGTACTGAACATGCTGCATAAACAAAAAGGTTTCTTCTATCTCTCCTCCCCCCCCCCCCCCCACAGAATGTCCCCCCCCCCCCCGCCACCTCAGATTTGCCATAATGATCTTATAACTAGTGAAGCTGGAAGAGTAAAATCCTTCATCCAGGTGGGGTGGAGTTAGGACCTCAAGCAAGGAGTCTTAGTAGACCTAAGCTAGCCCTTACATCTACCCACGTGCATGCATTTGTACATCAAATAATCAGTGGAAGTCAGGATAGACCTGAGCCTTCAAACCCGATTCTTGTAAGGAATAAGGATAAACCTCTTATCAGTAGTTTTTTCAGCTTTTATTTTTCAAGTGGATAATTGTACACTTGTTTCTGAAGAAACTCACTTATTGCTGTGTCAAGTTCTATGAGAAAGTTGGTGCATGCAAAGTCCCTTGATTACCTTCCTGATGTCTTGAAGGCTCCACACCACAGGTTGCTCTGTTATGTAAATACTGCCAATCAGTAAGAAGTTTGCGCTTTTTCTTGTGCTCTTCTACCTTCCATAGCTCTTGGCTCCTCAGTGTGATGGGAGACAAACCAGTTGCTTTGTATGGAGGCAACAAGGCCAACTGTCAACTTCCTAGTGTAAGGCTACATTCACACCTACCAAGTAGGAGCATTTAGGGATACCTGCCCCATATATGCCATTCAAATGCGGCAGCTGTCACCCTTCAAGTTAATGATCGGGTGACAGTGGCCGCATCTATAAGCAGCAGTGCATTGGAACTCTGCATGTAATCGTATGTGATATGATTACATGCAGTTAGGAATAGATCACTATCCCTGGAAGCACAATTGATACGTTCAGGGATAGTGATCTCTTCCTAACCACATGTAATAGTATTACGATTACATGCAGAGTGCTGGTAGACTTCCGCTTTCAAATGCTGCTTCTGAACAGCATATTTGGGATTCCTGTGGCAGGAACCCCTAAGCACACCTACTTAGTAGGTGTGAATGAAGCCTAAGTTAGTATTTTCTTGTTGGAGCACCTTAAGTTTTGGAGTGTTATGGAAATTAGGTTACAGAGTATCAGACAATTATTTTACTGTGTTGTACATTATTACATTAACCCTCAACCTTCATTTATTTTAGGGGTGTGGGTGCCATGGAAATTGTTGCCATGGATATGAAACTGAGAGGCATGTATATTGCAAGACAGCTGAGCTTTACTGGTGTGACCTTCAAAATTGAAGAAGTTTCTCTCAGCCACCATTATGTAAAAATGTACAATAAATCTGTGAAAATGGTAAGGAATGTATTTTATATAAAATGTTATTTGCTGGTGTTCAGCACATTATTTTACGTGTGTGTGTAATTCTGGTTGCACTGTAAGCTGCTATCTACAGGCTGATTTCTGGAATACAGTGAATTTTGTAAGCTACAGTATAGTTAAAAAAAAGATAACACCACCCTTGTGACCCTACCGCTCCCTTCTGGTCATTACACTAAAATACTTTGTACCTAAACTGCTGCTCTAAGATCCCTCAGTGGTCAGTCCGGGGATATCTGCATAGTGGTAAAATCATTTATTTTTGGTTTTACACATGAAGACTCATTAACTATAACTAACTAAGCTATTCTTTTTCATCTCTCAAGTGGGTGTTGGCCAGAGAGAGGTTTCAACAAGCTGCTGATTTAATTGATGCTGAGCAACGAATGAAGAAGTCAATGTGGGGTCAGTTCTGGTCGGCACATCAGAGATTTTTCAAATACCTCTGCATTGCGTCCAAAGTCAGGAGAGTTGTCCAGCTTGCTCGTGAGGAAATAAAAAATGGAAAGGTAAGCTCAGTGTTTGTTTGATATTCTAGTTAAATGCATTTGCCACAGTCAATGTAACTTTTTTAAATTTTATTTTTTGTTCAGTGTGTGGTTATTGGTTTGCAATCCACTGGAGAGGCAAGAACTCTGGAAGCTTTGGAAGAAGGTGGTGGAGAGCTGAATGATTTTGTGTCTACGGCAAAGTGAGTTCCATGTTTATCTTGCTGTCTGTCCAGATATGTATGTAGAACCAAGTTCAGATATGAATTGTATTGTTAATAATTTGCCACATCTACCATTGCCACATCCATTATTTCTAAAGTACTTGTTCGCTCAAAATAGGTTTGTTTAGGCATTCTAGAGTCTAATCGACAAAACAATCCGATGGGGAGAATTCCCCGTCAGGGTTGAAACGATATACATTACCCTTTCCCAGAAGCGTATATTCAGCTTTTTTCCCCCCTACTCGGGCTATGGATTTTCCAGTGCTGTCATATGGGATTAAGCACAGTTTGTGGTAGGCTTAATTTTTAAATCACTTGTATCCTATCACTTTCAGCAACCTACTTGATGGTAGGACTATGTACTGTTTGGTCCCATGTTGATTATGGGTTAGATATATGGCGCTGCTCGAGATCGAAGTCACTAGGGTTTCAGTTTCACATTTACTAATGCATTCACCTTTCATGTTTTTAGAGGGGTATTTCAATCTCTAATTGAGAAACATTTCCCTGCTCCTGATCGAAAGAAACTCTTAAACCTGTTAGGAATCGACTTATCAGCACAAAGCAATAACAATTCTCCCAGAGACAGTCCATCTAAAGACAACAAAACAAAGAAGAGGAAAGGTGGGTCTATGTTCTTCCTGCTTTATACATGTTACTCTTAAGGGTTCTTTTGGTTTAATGTAAAATCCAGTTTCTTCCTCCTGTCATGCTGCATGTTACATCTTTGTTGTAGGTGAGGAGTTGTCACGTGAAGCCAAAAAACCACGCAAAACAGGTGGACTTGCTGGTAGCAGCTCAGATGAGATGGACAGCGAGTCTGATGCATCTGATAAGGAAGCAGAGAGTGAAAGTGAAAGCTTTAAATCTGTAAGCTCTGGGGATGACGAAGATGATTTTAACCCTTTTAGGGATGAATCTAGTGAAGATGATGAAGATGGTGAGTGCTGTTTGTCAATGGAAAATACAAAAATTGGGCTCTCAATTGTAGGGGGGTTTCTTGGCCTTTATACACACCACTGAAATAAGTCCAAGCAATTAAATTAAAATTCCCCTATAGTGTTCACTGCTGGGCTACACACTTTATATTCTCTGTAATTGTTTCTAGCTTGGCCTTTTATGAAAATGCATTAAGATAAAAAAAATATATATTTATTTAATAATATTAAGGGCTATACTTACGCCTTTTGCCTTTGACATTAGAACCTAAACCGTTTGGTGCAAAGCAACTCAATGTGCTGCCCCCCCAACTGCCAATTTTAGATTTATTTAGGAAATGGTTTGCACATAAACTTTAATTGGAAAAAATCTCCCTGAATTACAAAAGTCAACGAGATAGATGCAATATACCACAGTGAGGAAAGTGGTGTGCGAGCTGGACGTAAGGCAATTCATCCTGAGGGGCAATCTGCAAGGTGCCGCAGTGTTTCACAGAGATGAAGAATTGTATTGCTTTCTCCTGAAAACAACTTTCTGTGCTCCTGGCTTTCCCCCCCGTGGGTTGGGACAGGACTGACTAGCACCCTACACAAAGGACAACTGTCTGCATTGCTGAATACAGTAATGATCTTATATCAGCCTGGGCATTTCACATCCATAAGGTAGGAGTTGGGGCTCAGGGCCAAACTCCTTCTTCTACCTCATCTTCTCCTCATCGGAGGATGGATGCAGTAAATCTTTGGCCAAATGCAAAGCTCTCCCTTGTGGACATCAACAAAATGTGCTGTTCTAATGTCTCCTGAATTAACTTTTTGTCAGCATAGTGTACTTTCAGGAAGCACATATTGGGTTTTAATAGTATTTTTCTAGATTGTTCATTAAAGGACACTAGACCAGATCATAGAACACTGGGTTATTTAGCTGCCTACAAGAGGAATTGGACACTGACAAACAAGAAAAAAAAGCTGTTGTTCAGTCAAGTATTTGCATTCCCCATTATTAATTTTTTGCTGGGGTCCTTGGAGAATGGACATTGTTTCTCCTAGGAGAAAAGCCAAACCCTTTTCTAGTTATTTGCTTTTATCAAAAAAAAAATTTTCTTCAATCAAGATCCTTTTTGTTTAGCTGCATGCTGAGCTCATTAATGTGGCTATCCAGATCTGCTAATCTCGGCTTCGCATTGCAGGCTGAACTTGCCATGTGGGGCCTGCTTGTAACGTGACCTTCGGGAATGATGTTCTGCCAGTGGCGCTTCCCAGGCACCTAATGCACTGGTTTGTTAGCTGCAAAGTGTATTACAGTTCCATGGCTGTGACCCTGTTCTCTGAATCTTCACTTGGAGTATACCTGCTACAGTGGGGAATTGTATATGTAATGTTATATGCTCACTGGATTCTGCATGTGGCAGTTTCCTGCTACTACTCTCTTTGCAAAGGTCACAGATCTTCCCTCGGTTTGGCCTTGTTGCTCTCTAACACCTTCCCTGCTTCTGCAGCTGGTTGTTAGTGATAAAGTTCTCCTTGCTGTTCCCATATATTAGCATACTAGCAGTATGTCGGATCCTAAGCACAAAGGAATCAGTCCTCTGGGGGGCTCTCAAGCTCACAATCCTGTAAATGGCTTCAGGACAGCTTGAAAGCCTGGATCACTGTCTCCTACCTAAGTCCACATGCTCCTCAGTCTCCCCTAATTCCCTCAGGTGGGGCTCCTGGGAGGCCAGGGAGGATCAGCCATGCTAGATTTCCCATAACGTCTTCCAGGACAGCATCACGAGATGGAATCTCCTCCCCCACACACAGGAAACACGTCACTTAATCTGTTTAAAAGACCCTCCTCTCCTCCACTCCCTCAGTCTTTTGTGTTTCCTCAGTCAAGCTGGGGAGCGCGTCACAGAACGCTGAGAGAGGACTTCCATGTGGTGAGCCCGGGAAGTCTTCCTTGTATGGCCTGCCTGTGTAAGGCAATAAGTGACGTGTTTCCTGTGTGTGGGGGAGGAGATTCCATCTCGTGATGCTGTCCTGGAAGACTAATGGAAATAGAGTTACCGGTAAGTCCTAACTCTGAATTTTAAAAATAAAAACATGGCCATAATAGCTGATCCATAACATAGGGGCTGTAAGCTTACTTCTACGCCTTCTTCACTAGAGTCTCACATATGTTCTGCAGTTGTCTGAACATTCAGCTGAGGATGAGTCTCAGGATGAGTTACTGCCTGACAAAGCTGCTGATTCCATAGCTGGGTTTTTAAAAAAAAAATTATTGCAATAAGTTTTATTACGTTTTGTATACAAAGGAATAAAATACAAGGCATAACACAGCCAATAGAACATTCCTGAAATTACATCCTTACAATAAGGGTAAAGAAAAGATGGGAAGGGGGAAACGTGGGTTGTAGAAAAAGCAAAAACATTTAGTCCGTATATATGCATAACTGGTTCGAAAACTCGGGCATCATCGGGCCATTAACTATGTCAGAACAAGTTTGCCTATGGTTCCGGTTATCCCTTCAGCTAAAAGTAATGCTCTTTTATCTTGAGCCTCCCTATTGAGGATACAGAGGGTAAGCGGACAAAGATGACTAAGAGGAAATAAATAGTAAAACAAAACAGGCAAAAGACCTCACCATGACCGAGGGTCCTCCCCCAGCCTTTCCCAAAGCTGCTCCGACCAGTATCTCCAATAGAAACTATTATTCCATCGATTAATCACACAGTGGATTTGAGATACAGATATTCAGGGGTGGTGGTCAAATGGTCCAAGCACGCCCAGATGTGGGAGAATTTGTCCAACGCATCTGGTCTTGTGAATCGCAATTCTTCCACTTCATGTATGTGATCTATTTGTCGGATCCATTCGGCTAAGGAAGGTGGTCTGACTTCTTTCCAACTCCTTGGGATAATTGCTCAAGCCGCATTAATCATATGCTTGAGCAATGATTTAGGAGGCGAGCGCTGAAGATCATCCAACTCGTGTAGGAGAGTTGCAGGTGAGTATTGCACAGGTTGTACAAGTTACCTGAGACGATAATATAAATTCTCCAGTGTGTTGAGAGAGGACAGGTCCAAAAGACATGCAGGAGGGAGCCAACTTCTGTCTTGACATCTCCAGCATGTGTCGGTACATCTGGGTCAATCCTATGCAAAATTTGGGGGGTCCTATACCAGAACGTCAAAATCTTGTAGTTAGTTTCTTGAGTGCGGCTACTTATGGAGCTATTGTGGACACTAAGGCACATGTCTCGCCAGTTCACATCTGACAGGGGAGTGTGTAAATCCTTTACACACAATACACTGTCTGGGGGAGGGTGGGGAAGATTTGCACACATTTCTTGCACAGCACAGAGCCTGCCATTTCCATGATATGAAGAGGAAAGCAAAATAAAAATGTAAGTTTCTGTGTTCATATACAACAGCTTCATCATATGTCTGCTTCATGTTACCTCGGTGTACATTGCTGTCATAAGTGGAAAAAAAAAAGGCTTTCAATGAGCTTTTCCACCTTTTTTTGCAGTCAAATTTGAGAACCCCTCCACCACCACTATAGGGTTGTGTTCCCAATATATATATTTTTTAGTTTCTTTGGAGCAGGATTATACAAAAGACTCTTATGGGCAGCTTCTATTGCGTTGAAAAGGTGGCAAAAGAGATAAGGGACAGACTGGAGCGACAAGACTGAGACCATGCATTAACATACCGTATTGTCTTGCGATTTTTGACAGACCTGCATGCCTACTTAACAACTGCTAAAATCTGCTTGCACAGTATATACAGGGTTTATTATGGTGAACACAACTCCCCTGACACCCCGTTAACATTGCATAGCAAGGGAGAATTAAGTAGGGTTTTTTTATTCCTGTAATTTTCAGAAAAGAGCATTTAAAAATGGTCATTTTCAGTTTTCAGAGTTAAACTATGTGAATGGGAACATTTAACAGATCTAAAATACATTTAATCCCAATTTGGCTGCCAAAGTGGAAATAAACTTTAAAGGGTATTCATTTCCCAAAACTACAAATGTATATTTTTATATTATATTGAATTAACCTAAGCTCTATCCCACCTTTTAATAGCTATATCAGTCTAGATGTTTGTAGATATACCTATTGAAGATATCCATAGGATGTAGTTCCTCAATGCACACACATTTCACTCAGCCCTTTGAATATTTATTTCCTTGTGTCACCACCATAACAAAGCCACCATTTTGAACTACAACTCGACATCTGAAATTCCCACAATGTAACATCATCTTTGCTTGAGGGAAGCAATGCATGGTGGGATATTTATTTTGTGCTGTGACTTGAGAATTCCTTTTAAGCACCATGTTGACAAAAGACGAACATTTCGAAGTCTTTCACTTTGGCAGGTCCTGCCCTGGAAGCTGTCATATCTGTCATGTCCATTTATCAGACCCTCTGGGTTTGGACATAAATGTCCAAGGAACCTGAAATGATCCTTACTGATCACTCCGTTTTGCAATGTTTAGAGCTGATGATCACTGTTTTGGAATACCTCGTTGATAGCTTAGTGGATCTTGTATTTGTCATCCAAAATGAGTCGCCTGTCTATTAATAACAGGGGACCCTTTGGTTGTAAAACAACAATGCCAGAAATACTTACTGGATATATGCCTTTTGATGGAGAACATGTCCTTGGTGCCTCTGGACAACTTTATCACGCATGTCAGTGGAACAAATTAGTTTCTTTTCTTTTTTTTTTCCCTGGCCTCCAAGCCCAAATCTAAATCAGGGAACCACTTCCATCATAATCCACCTGGACCACAAGGATCTTGCATGCATCTGTAAAAGACATGGTATCCACTCGGGTTTCAATCTCCGCCTCCACCTCGTTTCATGTTGTCACATCTGCCAACTTCTCTGCAAAGACTAACAGATCTTCATGCTGCTTTGGCAAAGCTATTGTCTCAAGGAATCAGTCCTTGTTCCAAAAGGGGAACGATTTCAAGGTTTCTGCTCAAACCTGTTCTCCAAGCTAAAGGGGGCATTCACCCCATCCTGTATCTGAAAGCATTCAATGTCTTAGCTCTAATGCAGAATTTTTGCATGGAATCCACCAGTTCATAGTTTCTCTGCATTAGGACAACTATTTGGCCTCTGGATATAAAAGGATGCATACTTGCATATCACCATCTTTCTAGTGCATCGGTGCTACCTTCAGCTGTGGGTACACAACGCTATCAGTTTGTAGCCCTACGCTCAGAGGGCATTCCCAGAGATTGATGCCTATATGACCTCCTGCTGAAAGAACAGTCAGTTCAGACTGTCAATATCCAACACACTGTTCAGACTACAAAGATTCAATTGGATACTGAACCTTCAGAAGTCAGTGCTAGAACTGACCCACGACTGAAGTATGTGGGTCTTGTTTTAGATGCTGCTCAGTCCAGAGTTTTTTTCTTCCATAAGAGAAACTCCATACTCTCTGCTCCCAAGTTTGTATTGCACAGTCCAGGAGCCAACCAACTGTCCACTTTTTGAATAAGAGCTCTGGGTTTAATGGTAGCCTAATTCAAGGCAGTCACATTTGCCCAGTTCCACTCTAGAATGTTGCAACAACATTCTAGCTGCTTTGGATGAGGGAGATCATTCTTTGGATAGTCCAATTAAATGTGCCAGACAGCCAAGGCCAGGCTATCTCTGGCCTGGTGACTTGGGAATTCAGCCCTGGATTTGGGAAAATTCCTCCTTCCGTTAACTTGGAAAGTTCAGATGCCAGCCCGACTAGCTGGGGAGGACACCTTTATCGATTAAGGGGACTTTGTCACTGAAGGTAGTCAGTCTGTAAATCAAGATACTGGAACTAAAAGCAATTCTGTTAACCCTAATTAGAGGATGTTGCAGTTGAGCAGTGAAGGGATAAGTTCAGCCAACAACACTTGGACCCAAGGCAATGGTCTCTTTATCCAGAAGTATTTTTTAAAACCTCTGTTTAACAGCCAACAGCCCTTACTGTCCATATCCTAATATTCTGGATTATTATGTTGTAGGCCTAAAAAGTATCTTTTAGGGTGTCACTTGAGACTCTCTTTTTGGTATACTATAACGCTATATACTTTGCTTTCTCTCCCCCGTTTTACAAAATTCCTGCTTTAGCTTGACCAGGGACACCCTACCTTTTCAGGGGAGAATTTTGAACCTGTAATATTTTCATGTACTTAAGACTTCATCATGTGTCTGGTAGGTTCTTGTACCCATATGGTTGTGGCCTGGGATTTGACCAGAAGATCCCAGTGCTGCAAGGCAGAAGTGCTAACCACCAACCTGCTGTGCTGTTCAGTTGCCGTCTTAAGTTTCTTCTTGATGTTCACCTGTGCCCAGTTGCTAAACAAAAACTTTGCATTTATACAGATCCCTGGCTTATTAGAAAAGAACATAAGAAGAGTAAGGATAGAAAAAAGAAAAAGAAAAGCATTGATCCAGATTCCATTCAAAGTGCCTTATTAGCTTCAGGACTTGGGTCTAAACGTCCCAGCTTTTCATCTGTTAAATCTGTTCCCCCAAGTGCTGCTTCCAGCCTTCCAGGTAAGGAATGTTCACTACAGCCCTTTTTATAGATGTTTTTTTTTTGCTCTGTAGTTGTGTTATCCACAATTTTTTTATATATATTTTTTTTTTATTTTCATAGCAAGTAGTGCTTTAGCCACAAACACCAATGCCAGCAACAGTTATGTAACTAGTCAAGATGCGGTGGAAAGGGCCCAACAAATGAAGAAGGAACTGCTGGACAAGCTGGATGATTTGGTAGAAGCACTTCCTCCGAACACATTGGATGAGCTTATTGATGAGCTTGGTGGTCCTGATAATGTAGCAGAGGTAGTTACTTCATCAGTTCTCTGTAAAACCCTGATCAGCTTCCCAGCCTTTATAGAGCCATAAGACTCTACCTAGCAGATTTGGTAATGGCATTGTGTTCACTTGGTATATTGCATCAAGCTAAGGGGTATTATTTTATTTTTTTACCCACCCCTAAAGATGACTGGTCGGAAGGGCAGGGTGGTCAGCAATGATGATGGAAGCATATCGTATGAGTCACGGTCTGAGCTTGATGTTCCTGTAGAAATTCTTAATATCACTGAAAAGCAAAGATTCATGGATGGTGAGAAGGTAAATGTTCCCTGATGTGTTAGTGTTTATACTTGTTTATGAGTAGAGTATATATTAACTTTTAATTGTTTTACAGAATATAGCAATCATCTCAGAAGCTGCCAGTTCAGGAATATCCTTACAAGCTGACCGCAGAGCTAAGAACCAGAGACGAAGGGTACATATGACCCTGGAATTGCCTTGGAGTGCAGACCGTGCCATTCAGCAGTTTGGTAAGTTGAGAATCTCTGGAGAAGATGAAAATGTTTATATTCAAGGCTTATATACTGTATGATCCGACTGTGCTGTGCAATGACTGGGCTATTAACAGATTTGATTACACACATAGATGGAGAGATATGCGCATTCTTGGCATGTCTAACCTCCGTTTATCTTTTCAGCTGTGTAGAACATAAGGCTTGGCTATACAGTAACTATGTGCTAACAAAAGTGATGATTGCATGGCTGTATTTGGATTTTGAATATTGATTTTATATTTTAAGGTATAATGCTTGGTGAAACTGTCACTATAAGCAATGCATCAATCAGAGATTAATAGTGTCTGCAAAAATTAATTGAAGGCCAGTTGCAGAGAATATGTGCAAGATACAAAAAAAGTAGGGTTTTCTATATATCGTTACCTCAGGATTATATCATAAATTAGAAGTAATTTCCTGCGTGATAATGGTCAAGGACTGCTTAGGACCCACAACTGATGTAAACAATTCACCAAGGATGTCGGCCCTCTGACAAGAGCACGGGACCTCCTCCTGACAACATGCCAAAAACAGAGAAAAGGCAACTTTCCCTCGTGTAGTATTAAAGTGAAAAACATTTATTAACAAACAACAATTGATATTCTCGCACAACTCTGAAAACAGTGTGCATCCATATGGTCAGTGACAAACTCCATAACATAAGCTGATCACACAAACCCTAATGGAAACTGTCAGATGGAACTCGCACTAGCTGCTCAGAGTACTGTTGCTGTGGCTGAACGCGTTTTTGGGGACACCCCCCCCCTTTAGAATAGTCTGAGGGGTTTCCACTATCCCCTGAAATGAAATAAGGGTTCGTGCCACTAAGTATTGCAGCAGACTATGATAGAGGATAGTGCGATTTTTGTGTGTGTGTGTGGTCATTTCTCCCTTCTCTCCCAGCTCACACACTCTGCACTCTGCAGTAATTCCTCCCAGCCAAACACAAGACAGGGGGCGTGCCTAGCAGTGATTGCAGGCTGTCACTTCTCCCTCTGCTAACAAATACTGCACAAAGGCATCTCCTTTGGCTAATGACAGGACAGGGGACCTGTCTTATCTACCTTCCAGCCATTGGTCTAGAGGACATTGGCTGGTCCTATACCCAGAAGATCTGTGTGTGGCGTCTGCTCGGCCATCCATATGAACTAAAGAGGATTGCTGAGGAATACAACATGCACTATTGTTTGTTAATGGTTGCAATTGTGATTTGGCTAAAGGGACTTGTATTAAATACCTGGTGCTTCGTTTGTAAGCTCTTTGAGGGCAGAGACTGTTGTGAATGTGCAACTATGTAAAGTGCTGCGTAATTTGTGAGCACTATATAAATACCTATAAGAAGTTCTTCCAACTCTCATACGGTAGTCACACGTGAAAGCCATTTTTTGAGTGAAGGTGGATGCAGAGATTTCCAGTGTCTAAGAATTACTGTCTTTGCCGCGTTCAGCAAGTGTACACCAGGCCCCTTTTTTAAATATGTTTGCCATGTACTAAATGTTTGTAAAACTGTATGTCTATAGAGAGAGATTAATTTAAATTATATTCCACAGGTAGAACGCACAGATCGAATCAAGTTACTGCTCCAGAATATGTCTTCCTCATTTCTGAATTAGCCGGAGAACAACGATTTGCTTCAATTGTTGCAAAGAGATTAGAAAGTTTGGTATGTTTTGCATTCATTTTATACCTGTACTATGTGCATGAGGAATCTTTGTGCAAGATTTCTATTACAACTCCTTCTATGTCCTATTTTTAGTTTTTGTCGTATTTTGGTTTCTTTTATATTCAAAATAATTATAAAAATGTGCATATGTGTGTTTTTCAGTGAAAATGTTCAATGCCTATAATTTTTTAATAAAGGGGGCCTTAACACATGGTGACAGGAGAGCAACAGAATCGAGAGATCTGAGCCGCTTTAATTTTGATAACAAGGTAAGTTTGTGGTTTCCTGTTTTACTTTTATGACTGTATATAAGAATTTGATTCCCAGCCTTTTACTATGGTGTCCTTACTGCAGCACGGCGTACAACAATGTAGCGTATATTGACATGTTTTGGGAGCAATTCATGTAAATGTGACTAGAATTTTCGTGTTCTTTATTATAAATCTGACTAAATACAGTCTTTGCAGCCGGAGACAGCAATATTTTTGCAGCAGATGTTTTTGGGTCAGTAACTATTATAAGTAGGTCTACAAAGCAAAAAAAAAAGGAAGCGGGCCCGGCGACGGAGGAGGGAGCGAGCCAGGCGACGGAGGAGGGAAGACGTAGGAAGAAGAGGCGGACAGGTAAGGAGTATAGAGAGTATATGGTGGGCTCTGCAGGGTCACCCTGAGGTGAGCTATGTGGGCTCTTCAAGGGGTGTAACTAGAAATCACAGGGCCCCATACAAATTTTTGCTATGGGGCCCTGTGATTTCTAGTTACGCCCCTGGCCAAGAGGTATAATTTAGGAGTCGGTTAGAAATATGATGCACTGGACCAGTTTAGAAATACTTGGCTTTAGACCAACAGCAGAGATCTTTCCTAAAAAAAAAAAAAAAAATCAGTTGTCCTTTTAACTAGCACTGCACTATTTCTGACCAAAACGGATACATTTAAATGGGAAAAAAAAAACCTCTTGGCTGATCTTCTACTTGTGGATGATTTCTACCGTATGTTTGTGCTTGTAGTTACTGATGGTATGTCAATTCCTTGCAGTATGGTAGAAATGCTTTGGAGATCGTCATGAAATCTATTGTGAGTTTGGATGCTCCTTTGGTTTCTCCACCTCCAGATTATCCTGGTGATTTTTTTAAAGGTGAGTCCTAGAAGATTGTATGATCAGCACCATCACTTTAAACATTTTGAATTATATAGAGATAATTAATTCCTATTTATGCCTGGCCTAAAACTTTATATATTCAGCCTCTGCCTTCTACTTGTCAGTTTTTGGTGCTCTTTTAACTTGTTGTAATTTATTTATTTTTAATGTATCACTACACAGTAAAGTGGATGAGTAACATACACAGCTTCACATCCATTCATCCATATAGATACATGCATGCATGCATGCATGCTTGCATACATACATACATACATACATACATATTAGGTTTGAAAAAAACATAAAACTGCAATCATATAGAACAGGTTCTGGGGAATCTGATGGGGACCAATGCCCTTACAGTTATTGAGTTCTTGACCTGTCAACTTTTTTTTTTAATCATTTTTTTTATGCTCCATTTCAGATGTTCGCCAGGGGTTAATTGGTGTTGGGCTTATAAATGTTGAAGACCGTTCAGGAATTTTGACTCTTGATAAAGGTATGTTTTATTGCATGCAAAAGCTTTTAGCGTAAGTGTGTTGGGAGTAATCAAAATCTTATTGTAACTGCATGAATAATGGATAAGGCATTGTGCAATCATGCTGGTCAGAAAACCAGAAGTACAGCAGCCTTTAATTTTGTAAGGTACTCTACCTATATAGATGCAGGTCATCTCTCAAAATTGTAATTCTTAATACAAGGCAGTATTGCCCTTCAGATATATAGATTATATATAGAATACCTATATTTAACTTTTACACACACATACCGTGCAAATACAATTTCCTCAAGTTTCTTCTGCGTTAAGCCCTTTGGGCAAGGCTGACAAGCATTTGGCAGGTAAGACACCTTATATTATCACACATGCTTTGATTCATGTTTAGTGACCAAGCAGCAATGGCCTGCACAAACAAAACACTGACCCATAACAGGCCCTCTCATGTACTGTTAAGTGCATAGTGTTCCAAGTGTTCTAGCCAAAATAAATTTATTTTATATATATATTTAAAGACGTAATTTTGCAGAGTGTATTGGATAAGTGGAAATATTTTACATTCCATAAATTGTTTTTGTTTTTTTTACAGATTACAACAATATTGGAAAGTTTCTTAACCGTATTCTGGGTATGGAAGTCCACCAACAGAATTCGCTCTTTCAGTACTTCTCTGACACACTCAGTGCTGTTATACAGAATGCAAAGAAAAATGGCAGATATGACATGGGAATTCTAGGTACTGAAAAACACTTAACCAGCATGCTTTTAGCGTTTCAAACCATTATCTGTACTTTGGAAACATTTGTACCTTTCTTCTGTTCAGATCTCGGCTCTGGGGATGAAAAGGTTTGTAAGGTTGAAGTTAAGAAGTTTCTGACACCAGGATATTCCACTTCAGGCCATGTAGAATTGTACACAGTAAGTTCTGTTTTTAAAATGCTGTTCAGGTTTCTTGTCCCACTTTGTTGTTTTTTTCATTCAAAAATGTTTTTATTACTTTTTAAACAGATATACAAGTAGGTTTGCGCACACTTCAAGTGGCAGTTTCAGAATACAACACATGTATTGTGCATAATAAAATAAAATTATAAAGATGGCTTTTTCCAATTTTTAGAGATGGAAGGTACAAATAGTAGTTTGGATTTTTTTCTGTTGTAAACATAAAACCTCTTAAGTGCTACTTAAGCAGCGAAAAAAATTTGTGGGATTACTATGCCTCTGACAGGCAAATAGGGAAAAGATATGAAAAGAATGGAGCTGTGTGTGGCTAGTCCTCTGCAAACACAGACAAAGCATGACTCATTGGTCTTATCTCGCACAAAATGCAGGTTGTCTAGACAAGGAGATCAGCAGTTTTAACATTTTATAGTAGTAATCTCTGATTTGCTGCCATTATAAACCATAGAAAAGTTTAGGATTTTGTCTGCGGTTCTGAATTTGGGTTCTTACACATTGCTCATGTGCTCTTCCTGGCTACCTAGAAATGATTGACTCTAAACTTGTTCTTTATCGTCACAGATAAGTGTAGAAAGAGGAATGTCTTGGGAAGATGCAACAAAAATTTGGGCTGAGCAAACTGGACCAGAAGATGGCTTTTACTTATCACAGCAGGTAACTGTTTACTTTTTCTGCATGGCTGTGTATTACAGTGCCCCAGTCTTTAATTTTATTGTTGCTGCAAAGAAGGCATTATGTACATCTGCATTTTTCTACCTTTTTGAAAGTTTGTGTGTTTTGGTAATGCTTCGTGGGACCTGCCAGAAATAAAACCATATTCAAGAAGTATAGGAAGAAACTAATGCTCAAGCCAGGATATGAGACTAAAATTCATTTTCCCATAACGTCTTCCAGGACAGCATCACGAGATGGAATCTCCTCATGCTGTCCTGGAAGACTAATGGAAATAGAGTTACCGGTAAGTCCTAACTCTGAATTTTCACTCCAACTCTTTAATAGCTTTTGGGTAACTCCTACAAACTTACCTCCTAGATGGGAGTACAGTACTTTGTTTTAGAGCAGATCTCAACCATGACCCTTTCCTTAAAATGTAAAGTATAGGAACCAAATATGTGTAGTGTACATTAAAGTTTAACTCCTGCCTTACCCTTCATTTTACAGGCTGCTCTCCTACACTGAAATGGCTTAAGCTGATTTTGCTGCACACAGAGCTTCTCACAGTGTGCATTGGAGGCTGCAGCAAGTCTTATAACGCTAACAATTTCCTGGCTTGAGGACTCCTAGCATCACCTAGCTTTCCTTCCCCAGCCTTACTGTCCCTGGCCACCCCTTTTATTCATTGGATTTCAGTTATTTCAATCATGGAGGCTTAGCATCACATGTGGGTTTTAGCAGTCTGCATGCAAATGTAGCCTGCCAAGGAATTCCTACTCCTCCAGACTAACATCCATCAAGGCAGTTTGATATTTGCATAACTCCTCTTTAGAGCCACCCTCTGCTTGTATTGGGGCTGGGGGCTCTTGAGGGGAGTACTGAAGCAAGGTGCTGACATTTTTAGGGGTCCATGTACAGCACCCTGAATGCCTCCCCTTCCTTTTTCCACTTCTCCATAACGTTTAAGAATTTGTTCTGTAGTAAACAGAAGCAAACTAAGCAGGTCTGATAAACTCGCTTGAGGATAACATTGATAACACTGTAGGACAGCACTGGCAGTAGCTACAGGTCTTTTTTCCTTGTCCATAAAGGGACACAGAAAGTAACCCCACTGCAAGGGTTAAGTATTATTCTGCCCGGCGTTGTTCTTTAAATCCGCATTGCTTTTAAGGGACAGCATCTCTTGGACCAGCACTTGACAACATCATAAAGGACTCTACTTGTGGCAAGAGCATCTTCTTTAATGGAAAAAAAAAACCGGAGGAACAGAGTGCAAAGTCGTTTTCTCTCTGTATGTTAAGAAAACATCCTTGTTTGTCTACTCCTATGACTCTCCACTTTTGCATGAGAGTCCTCTGAAGTAAGAACTCCTTTATTCCTTTTTTGGAGAATCCTCACGATGGACATCAGCCCATTGGTCTGGTGAGGAGTCCTGGTCAGTCTTGTATGCAGATCCCGAAACTTCGGCTGATTTGATCTCTAGCATTGGAATATAGTACCGCAGGGTCATCCTATCTGGATTTAGACAATGTCACTGGCATACATCAATCTTCAGGGAGGAACCCTAAGTCTTGCCATGGCAAGAGAGGTAGAACGGCCAGAACTTCACTTTCCAGCCTTGTCAACCATATACATTTCAGGCTTGGGCACTTCCTGTGTCCCTCTATGGACAAGAAAAAAAGACCTGCAGATACTGCCAGTGCTGCCCGTCAGTGCTGTGCAGTGTTATCAATGTTATCCTCAAGCGATTTTATCAGACCTGCTTAGTTCACTTCTGTTAACGACAGAACATCTTATACGTTATGGAGAAGAGGAAAAAGGAAGGGGAAGCATTCAGGGTGCTGTATATGGAAGGTTTCCTCCTGGTCCCAGGAAGTGGTCCCTACACCTACATTTGTTCCAGGACTTGTTTCGCAGATGTACCCTGTTTCCCCCGAAAATAAGACCTGGTTCTATTTTTGGGAATTGCTAAAATATAAGACCTACCCCGAAAATAAGACCTAGTTGTGACCATTTCCAGGGCCGGTGGTTGCATAAGGGGAAACTTGAAGAGCAGCGGGAGAGAATCAGTGGTGAAACGAAGCTAGAGCAAGCGAGGCGGCAGCGGAGGGAGCCGAGCCGCATAAGCCATTGCTTCCTCTATAGCACCGGCTCTTGTCGCAGGCGGAGTGATACCAAATGCACTCTGCCTGTGAGGAATCGATAGCGAAAGCGCGCTTCGCTCATTCTGTCCAGCGATTGGTTACCAAATTGCTCTTGGAAAGGTACGGCACCCCTGATTGCCCTGATCACCCTATTCTTAAATTTAGCAACAGGGCAATCTCCAAGTCTAATTCCTACAATACTAAAAGCTTGATAGTATACTTCTCGCAAGGGGCATCATTGTGCGTCGAAGGCATACTTCACTTGGTATGAGTCTTGGGGCTTCCACTGCAGGAGTTTATTTTTTTCATGGGATAAATTCTCTCCTTTCTGTAGCTGGGTCTGAGCCAGTGTTTTGCTGTTGCCATCATGGGTCAAGTTTCTGCCCTCTCTTCTGTTATAGTGACTGCTGGCCTCTCACTCTTTAAGACCTTAGTACAGGGCATTTTCCAGGTAGTCCCGCTGACTGACTGTTAAGCTCTCCCGCAGTCTTTGACCTCACCATGTTTGGGGATAGTGACTTACAAGATTGCAGTATGAGGATTAGTGTGACAGCTAGACAGCTCTTATTTTTAGGAGAGATCAGTAATGACCACCTCCACGTTTCTCTCATGACAGGACTACTTTAATACCACATAGGGTAGAATGTGGTGTTGCACATTCACAGTTTGAGACTTGGTTATTTTAGCACTGTTTAATTTATTTCCTTTTGCAGTTGGATTTAACTGTTTCTGTTTTCTTTCTCAGATAAGAAACAACAAGAAAACTGCAATTTTAGTTAAAGAAATTAACCCAAAAAAGAAGCTTTTCCTCGTGTACAGACCCAATACTGGAAAGCAGCTCAAACTTGAAACCTTATTAGACTTGAAAAAGAAATACAAAAAGGTAACATTTGCTTGAGTTTTTTTTCTGTTTAAAATACTTTAAGGCTATGAATGTATGTTTTGAGCCTTTAAATACAATGTATCCCCTGACATATTAGTTTCTAAATGTGATCAATTTTGTTTACAAAAAAGTTTTTTTTCCCCCCAAAATATGGAGCCTGTCATTATTAACCTGCCTGAAAAGTCTGGCTGAATTAATTTCATGCTGGTTTATTGATTTGAACACTTCAGTGACTGGCCTGAAACCGATAGGCAAATTTTTGTTTTCTAGCTTCACTTGCTGCATGTTTCTAGATTGTTCTAGAACTGTTACTCAATTTCTTGTAGCCGGAGACTGACCAGTGAATCAAGCGTCATCTTTTTCAGAACACGACCAGCAGTGGCAATCTATGTATTTGTCAGAATAGGGTTCTTTATTTTCTTGCACAATGTGAACAGGCATGTTAGAAAAGGGCTCCAGTGCTCCATAATATATTGCCAAGTAGGTCTGTTATATTTCTGCAGTTATTCTTATGGGAATGGTCCTACACACATGACCTGGAAAGCTTCATTGGTGTGTTAGATTTTGAGGCCATCATTTCTGTCTAATTTATTACAGGCCAGCCTGTTTGTCTCTTGTTTGACCTGTTGTAATATTATTGGCAGCATTGACTTTGGATGGATTATACCACACATGTACATTACCTTGATCAGTGATGTTTAGCAGAATGTTTATTGTAAACATATGTTGAAGCTGCACCCTTTTGTACTGTTTTATTATGTGATTTGCATCTTGCCACGTTTGGCGGGCTTCTGTACTGTTGCGAATATGCTGTGGTCTCCTCACTGAAATCCAGATGGCTATCCCATTGCGTGGACAATTAATACATTTGATGTAGGTGTGCAGGGCAAACTCCATTTGACTAAACTGATTCAGTGGATTACCTTCATTTAAAATGGCATTGGTATAATCTGTG